CCAAGTTGGTTCACGAACAGTCATCCCTCCGATGGTTTACACCAAGTTGGTTCATGAACAGTCATCCCTCCAATGGTTTACACCAAGTTGGTTCACGAACAGTCATCCCTCCGATGGTTTACACCAAGTTGGTTCACGAACAGTCATCCCTCCGATGGTTTACATCAAGTTGGTTCAAGAACAGTCATCCCTCTGATGGTTCCACCTAGCTGGTTCACGAAGTCATCCCTCCGATGGTTCCACCTAGCTAGTTCACGAACAGTCATCCCTCCGATGGTTCCACCTAGCTGGTTCACGAAGTCATCCCTCCGATGGTTCCACCTAGCTGGTTCACGAACAGTCACTCCTCCCCCCCCGAGGACAGTCTCATCCCCTTCACCTGATGAAGGCCGCTTGCGTTGTTTATTATTTTTATTCTCATTCTACGTGGGTGGCGACTTCACCGAAAGATACCAAAGAAGGTGAAATCCTTGCAGTCACGAAAGGCTTTAAATCCAACTAAGTTGCGTCCTTTGATGAATAATGGTCGCAGTGACTTCTGGCCACCCGTCCACAAAGATCTCAACGCACGCGCGCCTTCTCGTCCTGTCTCGGTGCACAGTCCCCTACAAGTGCATTGCCTTTGGGGCCGTCCATAAATGATGTCACGCGATTTTGGACGATTTTTGACCCCACCCCTCATCAAATATGACGTCACAAAGCACTACCCCGCCAAAAATAAAACACGCTTCAAATCTCTTTAAAACCATCGTCATTGTAGTAGCGTGTATTTAATGTGGCGCCGCACTCTGATGTTGCACGTAGAAAACATTTATTTTTTTTAAAAAAAAAGTCTATTTAATTCAGTAGAACGTGTTGTCCGTATTTATTTATAAAGTTGCGTTATTTTGATGTGACGTCACATTTCTGAACCCCCTCCTCCCCCCTCGTCACACATCGTCGCAAACGTCTGACCCCGCATCCCCCTCCCCCCCCCCACCACCCACCTCTAGGTGCGTGACGTCATTTATGGACGGCCCCCCATAATCTTCCCTGGAAAGGTCTCGCGCTGTCACCCCCCATTGGTTGCAATGGGGTGAGCGCGTGCACCGCCATTCCAAGCCGTTTGGCGGGAAAGTCGGACTGTCTCGCGCTCTCCCCAGGTTGGTTTCAATGGGGCCACCTCCCATTGGTTGAAATGGGGTGAGCGCGTGCACCGCCGTTCGAAGCCGTTTGGCGGGAAAGTCGACTCTCCCCATTGGTTGAAATGGGGTGAGCGCGTGCACCACCGTTCGAAGCCGTTTGGCGGGAAAGTCGGACTGTCTCGCGCTCTCCCCCCGGTTTGGTTTCAATGGGGCCACCTCCCATTGGTTGAAATGGGGTGAGCGCGTGCGTCACCGTTCCAAGCCGTTTGGCGGGAAAGTCGGACTGTCTCGCGCTCTCCCCCCCCCCCTCTCCCGGTTTGGTTTCAATGGGTGAGCAACCGCCAACCGTTAAAGCCGTTTGGCGGGAAATTCAATTGTCTCGCCGTGCCCCCCATCCCCCACCATCGGCTTGACACATCCTCACGGGGTGTTGTGGTAATGTTTTTTTTGTTACTGGAGAAAATGAATCTGTGACAGAATTAAAGGATGCGTTATTTTAGTGCTTTGGCATAGCGTGTCAACAACGCCGGACGGTTTAACCCCGCATTCTTGTACAGGGGCAATTGAGTTTTCAGGTCAAATACACGGCGTACATACCGTAACAATGAGGGCATTATTTTTGGTTTTGTCTGTTTGTTTGTGTTTCCCTCTTGTGATGAGACTTTGTAGGATGAACGTTGAGGTTTATTAGGGCAGGTAGTGACAAATAAGGTCTGAATTGGTCTATAATAAGGTAGGTACTGATAAGGGGTTGACTTTAGGTACGCTTTAAGCCCATATATATGGAGTAATTGGGAATGACTGTGCCCGTATAAGAAACATTGGAACTGGAATCGACGTATTTTTTTATACGATCCAATGCTCGATTAAATGGGAATCGACCGATTTTTTTCATAAAAAAACTATTCAGTATGTTGAACTTCTTTGGTACTTAGCATAGCCATTCGTACTCATCTGTGGGTCTCTGTGGGTCTCTTTGGGTCTCGATGGGCCTGGGTCTCTGTGCATGTACGTTGGACTTCTTTCACACCGCACATAGCCAACCGTGCTAGTCTCAATGCAGATGGCAGGATTTGACCAAATTGGTAGTGGAGTGCACCAACAACCTCACTACCGCTCCCCACTCATGAACCCACCCACTCACGAACACACTCATTTACCCATTAACCCACCCATTGACCCATCCAACCACCCATGGGTTGGCTGACAAAGATGACTGGTAGATGTACCAGCTGTACACCCTACTGTGCCAACTTGCTGCATTTTAGCCACCCGGCGCTCCACTCATTGCTGTGAGCGTCGCTCCTCTGCCCTCCGTTGTTGTTGTTGCTGGAGGGCGGCTGCCTCCAACTGCCCAGTAGCAGCGTCCGTCACGAACCTCTTCCACAGAGGCCGATCTTGACACCGCTGGTACCGGTCATCAGCAAGTCCACTCAGCGACACGTCCTCCCAAATCGCATCACTCCATCTCTTCTCCAGCCCATGTCGTGCCCGTTTAGTCCCCCATATGCAGCCATGCGGTGACTGGGCACGTGGGCTACATGACCCAGCTCACGCATCCTTGCCTGCCGGAGCTCACCGATGGGAATGTGTCCAGATCTTTCGAGGATTTGAGCTCCTCACACAATCCGGCCTGGTTAAACGCAGGACGGATCGTAGGCATGCCAGCCTCAATGTGTCTAACCGGCGCAGACGTTCCATTAGAGGGGTCTAAGTTTCACAAGCTTGGAGGAAAATAGGGGCATGACTGTGGCTGAGAAGACCTGAAGCATCTTGCGGAGCGATAGACAAGGTAGCTTCCACACGGCATTGTGCAGCCGGTGAAAAGATATTGCCGCCCGACTGATTCAGCGAGACCTCTGCTGTCAAACCGGCGCTGGCCATAAACAGACTGCCCAAGTATGCGAAACTCTCCACTCTATCCAGAACTGCTCCATCACCAATGGGGAGCTGAGGGGGTGGAGTGTCTGGTGGCACAAAATGCCCAGGCACCCACCCATTGACCCATCCACTCGCTCATTAACCCACCCGTCCGCTCACCCATCCGACCACTCGCCCTCAATTCATAAACTCAAACAAACGTGGCCCATCTTTATTTTTTTGGCTCAAAGACCAAAAAAGCGCGTAGTATTATTTTTCGTTGTTGCTTCAGTTTAAAGTCGACGCAGAAAGACCGTCAACAAACAAAGGGAGAGGGGGGTAGGTAGAATTTGAAAAGAAAAAAATATATAATTATTATATCGTCCAACAAAAAGAGACCACCGGAAAATACGACGGCGTTCAATGGAACGAGCTCGTGTGAAGAAGGCACAACCAGATGGACAAAAACACCGCAGAAAGTGAACTTGCACCGTCTAACGGAGCCCTTCTCTGCTGTGTGGTCTAGCATTGGGGGTGTGGGGGGAACCCCCAGTGGCAGCTGCCTCTGTGGGTTAGCCAGTAGGGGGCGCTGATCGCTGCTGCCGAGTCTAGCCTAGGGGAGGAGGAACTCCCAGTGGCAGCTGCCTCTGTGGGTTAGTCAGTAGGGGGCGCTGATCGCTGCTGCCGAGTCTAGCCTAGGGGGGGAGGAACCCCCAGCGGCAGCTGCCTCTGTGGGTTAGTCAGTAGGGGGCGCTGATCGCTGCTGCCGAGTCTAGCCTAGGGGGGGAGGAACTCCCAGTGGCAGCTGCCTCTGTGGGTTAGCCAGTAGGGGGCGCTGATCGCTGCTGCCGAGTCTAGCCTAGGGGGGGAGGAACCCCCAGCGGCAGCTGCCTCTGTGGGTTAGTCAGTAGGGGGCGCTGATCGCTGCTGCCGAGTCTAGCCTAGAGGGGGAGGAACTCCCAGTGGCAGCTGCCTCTGTGGGTTAGTCAGTAGGGGGCGCTGATCGCTGCTGCCGAGTCTAGCCTAGAGGGGGGCACCCCCAGTGGCAGCTGCCCATGTGCGTTCGTCTGCTGCCAGCAGAGGTGTGGGTGACGATTCGCCGCTGCCATGTGGATTTTCCAGAATCACGCGATGGTAATTTGCAGTGTAATCGCTCTTGTCGAATATCAACGTCTGGACGGCCCCGACTCCGGCTGGGGCATGATGGCCGATTCCTCTTGTGGAGCAAGGTCACAGGGATTGTTATTACGTCAGCCGTGTGTGTGTGTGTGTTGAACTTTGTTCACACCGTGCGTAACCAAACGTGATAATCTGTGGATCCACGTGGGTCTCGATGGGTCCTGGGTGTCTGTGGGTCTCTGTGTAAAGGATGTTTGAACTTATTTCGCACCGCACGAAGCCAACCGTGCTAATCTGTGGACCTATGTGGGTCTCTGTGGGTCTCTGTGCATCGATGTTGAACTTCTTTAGCACCGCACGAAGCCAACCGTGCTAATCTGTGGACCTATGTGGGTCTCTATGGGTCTCTGTGCATGGATGTTTGAACTTCTTTAGCACCGCACGAAGCCAACCGTGCTAATCTGCGGACCTATGTGGGTCTCTATGGGTCTCTGTGCATGGATGTTGAACTTCTTTAGCACCACACGAAGCCAACCGTGCTAATCTGTGGACCTATGTGGGTCTCTGTGGGTCTCTGTGCATGGATGTTGAACTTCCTTCGCACCGCACGAAGCCAACCGTGCTAATCTGTGGACCTATGTGGGTCTCTGTGGGTCTCTGTGCATGGATGCTGAACTTCTTTAGCACCGCACGAAGCCAACCGCGCGGCGATCTGCACGTACGTCACCGGCACGGGAAAGGGCTTACATCGAAACCTCTCCGTTCAAGCGTTCGCGCGCATACAGTCCAGCCTCTGTCAAAATAGAAATGTCTTTACCGCAATAGAATAAAATCATCATCATCATCTATCTCTCTCTCTGGATTAAATTGGAATTTCAACTCCCGGATTGTTTTTTCCCCGCATCCGATCGGCATTCACCGCGGACGATGACGATGACGATGATAACTGGTGGTTGTTGCCGAAACACCCCCTCTGTGCTCAGGGCAAGCGGTTAGCGGCTGAGCTGACGGCTACGTCCCGAGTTCGATTCCTGCTCACGTCCACCAACAACACCAGCGGCGAGACGAACGTCCGCACCGGTCCTGGGCCTCCCCTAGGTCGACCCGGCCTCAAATGAGTACCCGGGCCCACACCCAGGTACTCGCCCGAGGCCGAGACGTTACCGGGGAGACAAAGGCGGATGGGTGTGCCAACAGTGCCGGTAAGCTTTCACGGGCGCTGCTGCCACTCGCTGCCAACAGCACCTGCCCCTACAGTCTGTTAAGAGGCTACGTTTGGGGATCTTTGTCTTTGTCAGGGTCACCAAAGAAACACCACCACCCCCCCCCACACCTCTACCCCCTCCCTCTTTCTCTCACCAAAGACAAAGTTCCCCCTACACCCAGTATAGCCTTGACAGACTGCGGGGGCAAGTGCTGTACGGAGGGGAGGGGGGTCTTTGTCTTTGTTGAGTGGGCGCATGAGTGGGTGAGTTGATGGGCGAGTTCAGTGGGCGAGTTGGCGGGTGGGTAAGTTGGTGGGTGGGTGTGTGAGTGAACGAGTGAGTGAACGAGTGAGTGGGCGGGTGGGTGAGTGGGCGGGTGGGCGAGTGGGTGGGTGACTTAATGAGTCGGCAAGTGAGTGGGTGAGTGGGCGGGTGAGTGAGTGGGTGAGTGGGTGAGTGAGTGGGCGGGTGAGTGAGTGGGTGAGTGGGTGAGTGAGTGGGTGAGTTAGTGGGTGGGTGAGTGAGTGGGTGAGTGAGTCGGCGAGTGAGTGGGTGAGCGAGTGGGTGGATGAGTAAGTGAGTGGGCGGTGTTAGCGAGTCAACTGACCCACCCAACCCTCTCACCGACCCCCTCGCCCACCCTCTCCGTGTTCGTTTCTTCACTCGGCCGGGTGGGGGGTTGACAGCCCCCCCCCACCAACCCTGGGGGCCGTCGGGGGCCGGGATCCTCCATAGCCCCTCCCCCCGCCCCCACGGCCCCCACCTCCTCCGGCACCTCCACCCTCCCGGAATCCACGCCGCTTCTTCTCCTCCACGTTGAGGCGGTGTTCACCCTGGTACAGGATGGGCTGCAGGAGACACACACATGCACACACAGACACACACAGAGACGCCATCATCCTGTTTGAATAACCCGGCCGGCAATGGATACTCATTGTTTTTAATACGCATTCATTAATCGCCCCCCCCCCCCGCCCCCCGCCTCCACCACTTGGCACGTTAAAGGCCTCGCGAGCGATGTCATCGCGTCTATCCCGCTCTGCTTCAGGAGCAGAGCGGGAAGGAGGAGTTCTCAACGAACCCTGGCTGTCGCCCCGCGAAGCCGGGTGGTTGTAATTTCTGTCGAAAAAACGTGGCGGCGCTCGGATTGTCAACGTTGCGGTGGATTTGCTCTCCCCCCAACACACAATCGGCGCCAGTGCTTGCGCGCCAGGAACGAATCGGCCACGTTCCGTTCACGTGCCACCAAAAAACCTTAACCCGTCCGGCCTTTGGGGGCGGGTGGCTGCGGGCTTAACGACGCGCGGTTCACATATTCGCGCGATCTGACCCAAACAAAAACTCCAATACGGATATTGGCCTCGGAAGCCTCCATCGTGTTAAGCCTTCTGCTGTTGTTACCGGACGCTGCCCCGTGCCACTGCCGCCGCCGCCGCCGAAACCGTCGCTCTGCTTGATTGTGCAAAAAAAAAACACACAATTTAAGGATGGATTTTTTTCGGCCAATTTCGCCAATGGGTTAGTTTTCGTGGGCCCCAGGGCACCGTGACTACTCTGTGGCCTATTGGATAATACGACTCTGGTAGGTGGGTGAGTGGGTGGGTGAGTGGGTGGGTGAGTGGGCGGGTGAGTAAGCCTCATGCACAGCGCCTACTCTGGCGTATTAGATAATACTGCCCTGGTGGGTGGGCGAGTGGCTGGATGAGTGAGTGGGTGAGTGAGTGGGCGGGCGGGCGAGTGGGCGGCTGAGTGGGCCGCTGAGTGGGCGGGTGAGTGGCTGGGTGAGTGAGTAGGGTAAATGGGTGAGTGGGCGAGTGAGTGGGTGAGTGGGCGAGTGAGTGGGCGGCTGAGTGGGCGGCTGAGTGGGCGGCTGAGTGGGTGGCTGAGTGGGTGAGTGGGCGAGTGAGTGGCTGGGTGAGTGGGTTAGTGGGCGGGTTAGTGGGCGAGTGAGTGGGCGGCTGAGTGGGTGGGTGGGTGGGTGAGTGAGTGGGCGAGTAAGCCATAGGCATATTGAAAACGACTGTGGGCTATTGGATAATACGACTCTGGTGGGTGGGTGAGTGGGTGGGTGAGTGGGTGGGTGGGTGAGTGACTGAGTGAGGAAGCCCTAGGCACAGTACCTACAGTGGCCTATTGGATAAAACTGCCCTGGTGGGTGGATGACTGAGTGGGTGAGTGGGTGGGTGGGTGAGAGGGTGGTTAAGCGAGTGCGTGGGTGAGTGAGTGGGTGAGTGAGTGGGTGGGTGAGTGAGTTAGTGGGTGATTAAGCTCTAGGCACAGTGTCTAACTATGGCCTAGTGGATAATATGGCCCTGTATGTCACAGCATTGTGAAAGGGTATATGCGGTGGCTTTTCAAGAGGGAAAAAAAGACTGCCATCTGCAGTCCTGATGACACCCCTATTGGTGCTGTCTGTGATGAGTGGACAGTTCAAGAATGCCTCCCCCTCGTTTCTTAACCAATATTTGTGTTATGAAGAGTGAGAGAAAGCATTGTGAATCACTTTAGAAAGAACCAGGCTACTGAGGAGTCCACTGATAAGTCTGATGTCTACTGATAAGTCTGATAAGTCTACTGATAACTCTGATAACTCTACTGATGAGTCTAAGTATACTGATACGTCTACCGATAAGTCTACTTATAAGTCTGATGTCTACTTATACGTCTGATAAGTCTACCGATAACTCTGATAAATATTTTGATACATCTACTGATACGTCTATTAATAGTTCTACTGATAGTTCTACTGATAATTCTACTGATAAGTCGACTGTTGAGTCTGATAAGTTCACTGATAAATCGTACGTCTACTGATGAGTGTGCTATTGTTCATCACGTTGGAAAGAACCAGACTACTGATGAGTCTAGCCCTTCGTAAGGGGACGAGTTTGATCTGGCACTGTAATGGAGCCCAAAGTGCAACCATGATGCACCACGGGTAACGATCAGTGCTGGGAAAAAGTTTAACACGCATACATGCACACTACACAACACACTACTATACACTACACTATAACACTACACTACCATACACTACACTGCTATACACTACTAAACACTACATAAGGTTTCATTTTTTTCATCAAACAACCAAAAATGACATAGCCAAAATGTTTTTCGTAGGCCCTGGGCAGTGCCTACTTTGGCCAGTTGGATCATACGGCCCTGACCACCATCACCACCATCACCACCACCATCACCACAACCGCCATCATCACCACCACTACCATCACCACCGCCATCATCACCACCACTACCATCACCACCACTAACATCACCACCGCCATCATCACCACCACTACCATCACCACTACCATCACCACCGCCATCATCACCACCAGGACCATCATCACTACCATCTTCACCATCACTACCACCACCACCGCCACCCATCATCAACACCACTACCATCAACACCATCATCATCACTACGATCACCACCACCGCCATAATTAACTCCACCATGACCTCCACCAACACCACCACCTGTTAGAAATCAGGAAACAGAGACCATCACCACCCAGGTGTTAACACCCTCGCTTGGTATGCAGGAGGTCTTGGGTTTGATCCGGACCCCGACTCCTCACACACACGCCGCTAGGAGATCACGAAGCCGTAGTTGACCAGCTTCTTCCTCCCTCTCTCCCTCATCTCACTCTCTCTCTCTCATCTCTCTCAACCTCTCTCTCTCTCCCTTCCTCTCTCCTCCCTCTCTCGCCACCCAGTGGCAGCAGATGCACAAGCCTCTCGTAGCCAAATGCCGCCGTGTGACCTCCGGCAGAGGACGGCTCGGCCGTGCGGCTCGGCAAAAACCCACCCCCAGGAGCACCAAACTCTTGCTGGCGCATTCTGCCGAGCCAGGGAGGCTCTGGCCCACCCCGCCAGTACTTGGGGGGGGGTGTCCAGCGGCTCAACCCGCAACGGTGCGGCTTTTGGGGTCCATTTTCAGGCGGCTGGAGGTGCCTTTTTACAAAAGCTATTTCATACACGGGTTGTGGCGTGGGCGGGCGGGCGGGCGGGCGGGCGGGCGGGCGGGCGGTGGTTGCCCTATACCCGGCCGGTAAGCGCCACGCTCTCGCAAAACTTCGCCTGTGCCCCGGGGGGCGAAGTTGGCGCGTGGGGCTTCACGGGGCCAGGGGGAAATAAATACGCCACGAGGCAACAACCGACAGCCGCTCTAACGGTGTGGTGGTGGTGGTGGAGTGGTGGTGGTGGTGGTGGTGGGGGAGGCCCTGGCTCAAGGCACGGCTCTGGCTGGACCACGCCGTGCCACTCGCACCACCTGGGGGTGGACGCGCGCCCTGGTTCTTTGAACGACGGGGAGGCTGTACCCGATGCGACTTTGTATTTCGATTTGAAGCTTTCGTGACGGCAGGGATTCATGTATTCGGTACTTTTGGTAAAGTCACAGCCGTCGCCACCGCCGCCACCACCACCACGACCACCACCACCACCACCACCACGTAGAAGGGAAACGATAAAATAATGAAAATATGAAACGATGAAATTCTCACGACGTTTCGACTGCAACGCAAGAAGCAACCATCATCATCAGGTGTGATGACACCACAGCAAAGGAAATTTTCTTGCTGTGGTTTTATGTTTTTATTATTTTATTGTTTCCCTTCTACGTGGTGGTGACTTTACCGAAAGAACCAAGAATATAAATTTTATTGTTTTACAATCATTTTATTGTTTTATCTTTTTATTATTTTATTGTTTCCCTTCTACGTGGTGGTGACTTTACCGAAAGAACCAAGAATATTAATTCTATTGTTTTACAATAATTTTATTGTTTTATCTTTTTATTATTTTATTGTTTCCCTTCTACGTGGTGGTGACTTTACCGAAAGAACCAAGAATATAATAATTTTATTGTTTTACAATAATTTTATTGTTTTATATTTTTATTATTTTATTGTTTCCCTTCTACGTGGTGGTGACTTTCCCGAAAGAACCAAGAATAATTTTATTGTTTTACAATAATTTTATTGTTTTATATTTTTATTATTGTATTGTTTCCCTTCTACGTGGTGGTGACTTTACCGAAAGAACCAAGAATATTAATTTTATTGTTTTACAATAATTTTATTATTTTATATTTTTATTATTTTATTGTTTCCCTTCTACGTGGTGGTGACTTTACCGAAAGAACCAAGAATAATAATTTTATTGTTATACAATAATTTATTGTTTTATATTTTTATTATTTTATTGTTTCCCTTCTACGTGGTGGTGACTTTACCGAAAGAACCAAGAATATTAATTTTATTGTTTTACAATAATTTTATTGTTTTATATTTTTATTATTTTATTGTTTCCCTTCTACGTGGTGGTGACTTTACCGAAAGAACCAAGAATATAATAATTTTATTGTTTTACAATAATTTTATTGTTTTATATTTTTATTATTTTATTGTTTCCCTTCTACGTGGTGGTGACTTTCCCGAAAGAACCAAGAATAATTTTATTGTTTTACAATAATTTTATTGTTTTATATTTTTATTATTTTATTGTTTCCCTTCTACGTGGTGGTGACTTTACCGAAAGAACCAAGAATATTAATTTTATTGTTTTACAATAATTTTATTATTTTATATTTTTATTATTTTATTGTTTCCCTTCTACGTGGTGGTGACTTTACCGAAAGAACCAAGAATAATAATTTTATTGTTATACAATAATTTATTGTTTTATATTTTTATTATTTTATTGTTTCCCTTCTACGTGGTGGTGGTGACTTTACCGAAAGAACCAAGAATAATAATTTTATTGTTTTACAATAATTTTATTGTTTTACAATAATTTTATTGTTTTATATTTTTATTATTTTATTGTTTCCCTTCTACGTGGTGGTGACTTTACCGAAAGAACCAAGAATATAAATTTTATTGTTTTACAATCATTTTATTGTTTTATCTTTTTATTATTTTATTGTTTCCCTTCTACGTGGTGGTGACTTTACCGAAAGAACCAAGAATATTAATTTTATTGTTTTACAATAATTTTATTGTTTTATATTTTTATTATTTTATTGTTTCCCTTCTACGTGGTGGTGACTTTACCGAAAGAACCAAGAATATAATAATTTTATTGTTTTACAATAATTTTATTGTTTTATATTTTTATTATTTTATTGTTTCCCTTCTACGTGGTGGTGACTTTCCCGAAAGAACCAAGAATAATAATTTTATTGTTTTACAATAATTTTATTGTTTTATATTTTTATTATTTTATTGTTTCCCTTCTACGTGGTGGTGACTTTACCGAAAGAACCAAGAATATTAATTTTATTGTTTTACAATAATTTTATTGTTTTATATTTTTATTATTTTATTGTTTCCCTTCTACGTGGTGGTGACTTTACCGAAAGAACCAAGAATATTAATTTTATTGTTTTACAATAATTTTATTGTTTTATATTTTTATTATTTTATTGTTTCCCTTCTACGTGGTGGTGACTTTACCGAAAGAACCAAGAATAATAATTTTATTGTTATACAATAATTTATTGTTTTATATTTTTATTATTTTATTGTTTCCCTTCTACGTGGTGGTGGTGACTTTACCGAAAGAACCAAGAATAATAATTTTATTGTTTTACAATAATTTTATTGTTTTACAACAATTTTATTGTTTTATATTTTTATTATTTTATTGTTTCCCTTCTACGTGGTGGTGACTTTACCGAAAGAACCAAGAATATAAATTTTATTGTTTTACAATCATTTTATTGTTTTATCTTTTTATTATTTTATTGTTTCCCTTCTACGTGGTGGTGACTTTACCGAAAGAACCAAGAATATTAATTTTATTGTTTTACAATAATTTTATTGTTTTATATTTTTATTATTTTATTGTTTCCCTTCTACGTGGTGGTGACTTTACCGAAAGAACCAAGAATATAATAATTTTATTGTTTTACAATAATTTTATTGTTTTATATTTTTATTATTTTATTGTTTCCCTTCTAAGTGGTGGTGACTTTCCCGAAAGAACCAAGAATAATAATTTTATTGTTTTACAATAATTTTATTGTTTTATCTTTTTATTATTTTATTGTTTCCCTTCTACGTGGTGGTGACTTTACCGAAAGAACCAAGAATATTAATTTTATTGTTTTACAATAATTTTATTGTTTTATATTTTTATTATTTTATTGTTTCCCTTCTACGTGGTGGTGACTTTACCGAAAGAACCAAGAATAATAATTTTATTGTTATACAATAATTTATTGTTTTATATTTTTATTATTTTATTGTTTCCCTTCTACGTGGTGGTGGTGACTTTACCGAAAGAACCAAGAATAATAATTTTATTGTTTTACAATAATTTTATTGTTTTACAATAATTTTATTGTTTTATATTTTTATTATTTTATTGTTTCCCTTCTACGTGGTGGTGACTTTACCGAAAGAACCAAGAATATAAATTTTATTGTTTTACAATCATTTTATTGTTTTATCTTTTTATTATTTTATTGTTTCCCTTCTACGTGGTGGTGACTTTACCGAAAGAACCAAGAAAATTAATTTTATTGTTTTACAATAATTTTATTGTTTTATATTTTTATTATTTTATTGTTTCCCTTCTACGTGGTGGTGACTTTACCGAAAGAACCAAGAATATAATAATTTTATTGTTTTACAATAATTTTATTGTTTTATATTTTTATTATTTTATTGTTTCCCTTCTACGTGGTGGTGACTTTCCCGAAAGAACCAAGAATAATAATTTTATTGTTTTACAATAATTTTATTGTTTTATATTTTTATTATTTTATTGTTTCCCTTCTACGTGGTGGTGACTTTACCGAAAGAACCAAGAATATTAATTTTATTGTTTTACAATAATTTTATTGTTTTATATTTTTATTATTTTATTGTTTCCCTTCTACGTGGTGGTGACTTTACCGAAAGAACCAAGAATAATAATTTTATTGTTATACAATAATTTATTGTTTTATATTTTTATTATTTTATTGTTTCCCTTCTACGTGGTGGTGACTTTACCGAAAGAACCAAGAATAATAATTTTATTGTTTTACAATAATTTTATTGTTTTATATTTTTATTATTTTATTGTTTCCCTTCTACGTGGTGGTGACTTTACCGAAAGAACCAAGAATAATAATTTTATTGTTTATATTTTTATTATTTTATTGTTTCCCTTCTACGTGGTGGTGACTTTACCGAAAGAACCAAGAATAATAATTTTATTGTTTTACAATAATTTTATTGTTTTATATTTTTATTATTTTATTGTTTCCCTTCTACGTGGTGGTGACTTTACCGAAAGAACCAAGAATAATAATTTTATTGTTTTACAATAATTGTATTGTTTTATATTTTTATTATTTTATTGTTTCCCTTCTACGTGGTGGTGACTTTACCGAAAGAACCAAGAATAATAATTTTATTGTTTTACAATAATTTTTGTTGTTTTATATTTTTATTATTTTATTGTTTCCCTTCTACGTGGTGGTGACTTTACCGAAAGAACCAAGAATATAAATTTTATTGTTTTACAATCATTTTATTGTTTTATCTTTTTATTATTTTATTGTTTCCCTTCAACGTGGTGGTGACTTTACCGAAAGAACCAAGAATATTAATTTTATTGTTTTACAATAATTGTATTGTTTTATATTTTTATTATTTTATTGTTTCCCTTCTACGTGGTGGTGACTTTACCGAAAGAACCAAGAATATTAATTTTATTGTTTTACAATAATTGTATTGTTTTATATTTTTATTATTTTATTGTTTCCCTTCTACGTGGTGGTGACTTTACCGAAAGAACCAAGAATATAATAATTTTATTGTTTTACAATAATTTTATTGTTTTATATTTTATTATTTTATTGTTTCCCTTCTACGTGGTGGTGACTTTCCCGAAAGAACCAAGAATAATAATTTTATTGTTTTACAATAATTTTATTGTTTTATATTTTTATTATTTTATTGTTTCCCTTCTACGTGGTGGTGACTTTACCGAAAGAACCAAGAATATTAATTTTATTGTTCTACAATAATTTTATTGTTTTATATTTTTATTATTTTATTGTTTCCCTTCTACGTGGTGGTGACTTTACCGAAAGAACCAAGAATAATAATTTTATTGTTATACAATAATTTATTGGTTTATATTTTTATTATTTTATTGTTTCCCTTCTACGTGGTGGTGACTTTACCGAAAGAACCAAGAATAATAATTTTATTGTTTTACAATAATTTTATTGTTTTATATTTTTATTATTTTATTGTTTCCCTTCTACGTGGTGGTGACTTTACCGAAAGAACCAAGAATAATAATTTTATTGTTTATATTTTTATTATTTTATTGTTTCCCTTCTACGTGGTGGTGACTTTACCGAAAGAACCAAGAATATGTGATCTTCTGTGGAATCCCTCCCCGTAGAGGCGGTTAAATTTCGATTTAAAGCTTCCGTGACGGCAATGATTCATCTTCTTTGGTTCTTTCGGTAAAGTCACCACCACGTAGAATGAGACTAAAATAATAAAATAAAACAATAAAATTCTCACGACGTTTCACCCACAAACACAAGTGGCCTTCTTCAGGTGAAAGGGACAGACCTGTTGGGACGACAGAGCTTCAATGATGCTTCAGATGAATGAATGACAGAGCTTCAATGAAGCTTCAGATGAATGAATGACAGAGCTTCAATGAAGCTTCAGATGAATGAAGCTTCATTGAAGCTCTGTCGTCCCAACGGGTCTGTCCCTTTCACCTGAAGAAGGCCGCTTGTGTTGTGGCCGAAACGCCGTGAGAATTTTATCGTCTTATTTCATTATTTTATTCTCATTCCACGTGGTGACTTTACCGAAACGTCGTGAGAATTTTATCGTCTTATTTTATTATTTTTTATTCTCATTCCACGTGGTGGCGACTTTACCGAAAGAACCGAAGAAGATGAATCCTTGCAGTCACGAAAGCTTCAAATCGAAAAAAAATAATAATAATAATAATAATATGCGAGTTAGTTTTTTGTATCTCAATCGGCTCCAGTGCTGCTTCTGTTGCCGGCAGCAATACAAATGGTTTAAAACTCTCGCTCTCTCTCTCTCTCTCCAGCCCTCTCCCCACCTTGGCCGCGAGGATTTTCTGCACCGAGTCTGCGTCGCTGAAGATCACGAAGCCATAGTTGGGCAGCTTCCTCCCCGTCACTGCCGAGGCGCCCTGGGTGTTGATGCGCACGCTCAGCACCGTCCCGTACGCTGAGAGAAAGAGAGAGAGAGAGCGAGCGATGAACGACTACAGAGAGAGAGAGAGAGATGATCATCTGTACAGAGAGAAAATGCATATCCAGAGATAACATATCTATAGAGATAACTATATATCTATAGAGATAAATGTGTATAGAGGCAGAGATAGATATCTATAAAGAAACATGGATATACAGAGATGAATATCTACAGAGAGAGAGAGAGATGTATATCAATTGAAAGAGTTAAATGCCCATACAGAGAGGGAGAGACGTACTAATACATTTCGACAGAGAGATACAGCGAGAGACAGGGATTTGCCTCAATAGACATTACGGCAAGCTACAGGGATGCAAGGCAAAGGGAGAGAGAGAGAAATACTGGTAGAAAGAGAAACACAGAGAGACATACGCGAGTGAGTCTCACCGCGTGAAGTACGTGAGCGAATCTCTATTTGAGCGAGTGAGTCTCTGAGCAAGTCTCTGAGTGAGTCTCTGAGTCTCTGTATCCGAGTCTGAGTGAGCCTCTGTATCCATGTGAGTCTGAGTGAGTCTTTGAATCTGTATATATGTGAGTCTGAGCGAGTCTCTGTATCTATGTGAGTCTGAGCGAGTCTCTGTATCTATGTGAGTGAGTCTCTGTATCTATGTGAGTCTGAGTGAGTCACTGTATCTATGTGAGTCTGAACGAGTCTCTGTATCTATGCGAGTCTGAGCGAGTCTCTGTATCTATGTCAGTCTGAGCGAGTCTCTGTATCTATGCGAGTCTGAGTGAGTCTCTGTATCTATGTGAGTCTGAGTGAGTCTCTGTATCTATGTGAGTCTGAGTGAGTCTCTGTATCTATGTGAGTCTGAGTGAGTCTCCATATCTATGTGAGTCTGAGTGAGTCTCTGCATCTATGTGAGTCTGAGTGAGTCTCTGTATCTATGTGAGTCTGAGCGAGTGTGTGCGTGTCTCTGCGAGTCTGAGTGAGTCTCTGTATCTATGCGAGTCTGAGTGAGTCTCTGTATCTATGTGAGTCTGAGCGAGTCTCTGTATCTATGTGAGTCTGAGTGAGTCTCTGTATCTATGCGAGTCTGAGCGAGTCTCTGTATCTATGTCAGTCTGAGCGAGTCTCTGTATCTATGCGAGTCTGAGTGAGTCTCTGTATCTATGTGAGTCTGAGTGAGTCTCTGTATCTATGTGAGTCTGAGTGAGTCTCCATATCTATGTGAGTCTGAGTGAGTCTCTGTATCTATGTGAGTCTGAGTGAGTCTCTGTATCTATGTGAGTCTGAGCGAGTGTGTGCGTGTCTCTGCGAGTCTGAGTGAGTCTCTGTATCTATGTGAGTCTGAGTGAGTCTCTGTATCTATGTGAGTCTGAGTGAGTCTCTGTATCTATGTGAGTCCGAGCGAGTCTCTGTATCTATGTGAGTCTGAGTGAGTCTCCGTATCTATGTGAGTCTGAGCGAGTGTGTGCGTGTCTATGCGAGTCTGAGTGAGTCTCTGTATCTACGCGAGTCTGAGCGAGTCTCTGTATCTATGTGAGCCTGAGCGAGTCTCTGTATCTACGTGAGTCTGAGCGAGTCTCCGTATCTATGTAAGTCTGAGTGAGTCTCTGTATCTATGTGAGTCTGAGTGAGTCTCTGTATCTATGCGAGTCTGAGTGAGTCTCCGTATCTGTGAGTCTGAGTGAGTCTCTGTATCTATGTGAGGCTGAGTGAGTGTGTCCGTGTCTATGTGAGTCTGAGTGAGTCTCCGTATCTGTGAGTCTGAGTGAGTCTCTGTATTTGTGAGTCTGAGTGAGTCTCTGTATCTATGTGAGTCTGAGTGAGTCTCCGTATCTATGTGAGTCTGAGCGAGTCTCTGTATCTATGTGAGTCTGAGTGAGTCTCTGTATCTATGTGAGTCTGAGTGAGTCTCTGTATCTATGTGAGTCTGAGTGAGTCTCTGTATCTATGTGAGTCTGAGTGAGTCTCTGTATCTATGTGAGTCTGAGTGAGTCTCTGTATCTATGTGAGTCTGAGTGAGTCTCTGTATCTATGTGAGTCTGAGTGAGTCTCTGTATCTATGTCAGTCTGAGTGAGTCTCTGTATCTATGTGAGTCTGAGCGAGTGTGTCCGTGTATGTGAGTCTGAGCGAGTCTCTGTATCTACGTGAGTCTAAGTGAGTCTCTGTATCTATGCGAGTCTGAGCGAGTCTCTGTATCTACGTGAGTCTGAGCGAGTCTCTGTATCTACGTGAGTCTGAGCGAATGTGTCCATATCTATGCGAGTCTGAGCGAGTGTGTCCGTGTCTCTGCGAGTGGTCTTACAGGAGAAGAATTCTCGAAGGGAAGCCTCCTCCATGCTGTAGGGGAGGTTCCCCACAAACAGCTGCTGCGAGTCTGCGTAGCGAGGGAAACGTCGCGTTTCCCCATCCACGGACGGATCCGCTTCACCGCCTCCTCTCACTGCCAGCACGGAGACGCATGCATAGAAAGACAAGGACAGAGAGACAAACGGACAGAGAGACAAACGGAGAGAGATGTAGAGAGACACAGAGAGAGACACGCGGACAGAGAGAGACACAGAGAGAGACAGAGAAACACGGACAGAGACACACAAGGACAGACACAGAGAGAAGAGACATGGACAGAGACACGGACAGAGAGAGAGGCAAGGAGAGAGAGACGGAGAGACACGGATAGACAGACACGAAGAGAGAGACAAAGACAGACACACGGAGAAACAGACAACGGAGAGACACACAGAGAGACGGGGAAAAACAGAGGGAGAGAGAGACACAGGGAGAGAGAGACACAGAGACAGACACACGGAGAGACAGACAACGGAGAGACACAGAGACACAGGGAAAAAGAGAGGGAGAGAGAGACACAGGGAGAGAGAGACACAGGGAGAGAGAGACACAGGGAGAGACACAGGGAGAGAAAGACACAGGGAGACACAAAGAGAGAGACACAGGGGGAGAGACACAGGGAGAGAGAGACAGAGAGAGAGACACACAGAAAGAGACAGAGAGCCACAGGGAGAGAGACACAGGGAGAGACACAGGGAGAGACACAGGGAGAGAGAGACAGGGAGAGAGAGACACAGGGAGAGAGAGACACAGGGAGAGACAGACACAGGGAGAGAGAGACACAGGGAGAGAGAGACACAGGGAGACACAGGGAGAGACACAGGGAAAGAGAGACACAGGGAGAGACACAGGGAGAGACACAGGGAGAGAGAGACACAGGGAGAGAGACACACAGGGAGAGAGAGACACAGGGAGAGAGAGACAGGGAGAGAGAAACACAGGGAGAGAGACACAGGGAGAGAGAGACAGGGAGAGAGATAAAGGGAGAGACACAGGGAGAGAGAGAGACAGGGAGAGAGAGACACAGGGAGAGAGAGACACAGGGAGAGAGAGAGACAGGGAGAGACACAGGGAGAGAGAGAGACACAGGGAGAGAGACACAGGGAGAGAGAGACACAGGGAGAGAGAGACACAGGGAGAGAGAGACACAGGGAGAGAGAGACACAGGGAGAGAGAGACACAGGGAGAGACACAGCGAGAAAGAGACAGAGGGAGAGAGACACAGGGAGAGACACAGGGAGAGAGAGACACAGAGAGAGACACAGGGAGAGACACAGGGAGAGAGACACAAGGAGAGAGAGACACAGGGAGAGAGACACAGGGAGGGAGAGAGACACAGGGAGGGAGAGACACAGGGAGAGAGAGACACAGGGAGAGAGAGACACAGGGAGCGAGAGAGACACAGGGAGGGAGAGACACAGGGAGAGAGAGACACAGGGAGAGAGAGACACAGGGAGAGAGAGAGACACAGGGAGAGAGAGAGACACAGGGAGCCCGATTGCCGTTTGAAACTTTTTTTTTTTACCAACAAAAAAATGTAAAGTTTTCATTTGCCGATTCGGAAATTGAACTTTCTAAGACGTACGCGAATCGTTTCAAGAAACACAATGACGTTTCAGAAGGTCACCGTCTTCACGTACACCGTTGGGACAGCGTTCGGCTATCTAAACACTGAGGGCACGGTGACTAGGAGATGTTAACTACCTCGCCTGGCATGCAGGTCATGGGTTCGATCCCGAAGCTGACGATGCCCGCTGCTGTATATTTGGAGTCTGCTCATCTCTCTCTCTCTCTCATCATCATCATCACGGTGGCTAGGCGATGTTAACTAGAAGGTGTAGTCAGGGTCGGCCTAGAACTCACTACCTCCTGTAAACCAGGTGAGGTAGTTAACATCTCCGAGCCACCGTGATGATGAGAGAGAAAGAGAGAGACGCGCAACACTCCAAATATACAGGGTGGCGCTTGAACCCACGACCTCCTGTATACCGGGCGAGGTAGTTAACATCTCCTAGCGGTGGTCCTACCTCGCCCTGATGTGCAGGAGGTCTTGGGTTCGATCCCGACCCTGACGATGGCCGCTGCTGTATATTTGGAGTCTGCTCATCTCTCTCTCTCTCTCATCATCATCATCATCACGGTGGCTAGGCGATGTTAACTAGAAGGTGTAGTCAGGGTCGGCCTAGAACTCACTACCTCCTGTAAACCAGGCGAGGTAGTTAACATCTCCGAGCCACCGTGATGATGAGAGAGAAAGAGAGAGAGACGCGCAACACTCCAAATATACAGGGTGGCGCTTGAACCCACGACCTCCTGTATACCGGGCGAGGTAGTTAACATCTCCTAGCGGTGGTCCTACCTCGCCCTGGTGTACAGGAGGTCTTGGGTTCGATCCCGACCCTGACGATGCCCGCTGCTGTGTATTTGGAGTCTGCTCATCTCTCTCTCTCTCTCATCATCATCATCACGGTGGCTAGGCGATGTTAACTAGAAGGTGTAGTCAGGGTCGGCCTAGAACTCACTACCTCCTGTAAACCAGGCGAGGTAGTTGACATCTCCGAGCCACCGTGATGATGAGAGAGAGACGCGCACACTCCAAATATACAGGGTGGGCGCTTGAACCCACGACCTCCTGTATACCGGGCGAGGTAGTTAACATCTCCTAGCGGTGGTCCTACCTCGCTCTGGTGTGCAGGAGGTCTTGGGTTCGATCCCGAAGCTGACGATGCCCGCTGCTGTATATTTGGAGTCTGCTCATCTCTCTCTCTCTCTCTCATCATCATCATCACGGTGGCTAGGCGATGTTAACTAGAAGGTGTAGTCAGGGTCGGCCTAGAACTCACTACCTCCTGTAAACCAGGCGAGGTAGTTAACATCTCCGAGCCACCGTGATGATGAGAGAGAAAGAGAGAGAGACGCGCAACACTCCAAATATACAGGGTGGGCGCTTGAACCCACGACCTCCTGTATACCGGGCGAGGTAGTTAACATCTCCTAGCGGTGGTCCTACCTCGCCCTGGTGTACAGGAGGTCTTGGGTTCGATCCCGACCCTGACGATGGCCGCTGCTGTATATTTGGAGTCTGCTCATCTCTCTCTCTCTCATCATCATCATCATCACGGTGGCTAGGCGATGTTAACTAGAAGGTGTAGTCAGGGTCGGCCTAGAACTCACTACCTCCTGTAAACCAGGCGAGGTAGTTAACATCTCCGAGCCACCGTGATGATGAGAGAGAGAGCGAGAGAGAGACGCGCAACACTCCAAATATACAGGGTGGGCGCTTGAACCCACGACCTCCTGTATACCGGGCGAGGTAGTTAACATCTCCTAGCGGTGGTCCTGCATCGCCCTGGTGTGCAGGAGGTCTTGGGCTCGATCCCGACCCAGACGATGCCCGCTGCTGTGTATTTGGAGTCTGCCGTCTGTCCCGATGGTGGTCACCGCGTGGATTTTTAGGCCGGGGTCCTCCCGTTTTTTTTTTTCTTCCCCCCTCCACATTTAGAATCAACGTCACCGCACGTCCAGAGGGGGCATTGGGCTGCTGCTATAAATTCCCGCACGACGACAACGACAACGACATTGACGATGATGATGATGATGATGTCGGCCAGCTCGTCGAGCTATTATTTGCGATGACCAGGTGGCTTCTGAGAGAGAGAGAGAGAGCCACACAGCAGCTCAGTGGGGCTTTACACCTGGTAAAATGAATGCAAATAGTTGCAATAGGTAAGAGAGAATAGCCGCTGGTAGGCCACGGGACAGACCCAGCCGGGTGCAATAGGTTTTGGGCTGCCGTGCCAGGCTAGGTGCACGAGGAGGAGGTCACGGGACAGACTAGGTAGGTGCCATGGGTTGTACTGCTGTGCCAGGCTAGGTGCAGGAGGAGGTCACGGGACAGACCCAGCAGGTGGAATAGGTTTGGGCTGCCGTGCCAGGCTAGGTGCAGGAGGAGGTCACGGGACAGACCCAGCAGGTGCCGTGGGTTGTACTGCTGTGCCAGGCTAGGTGCAGGAGGAGGTCACGGGACAGACCCAGCAGGTGCGATGGGTTGACTGCTGTGCCAGGCTAGGTGCAGGAGGTCACGTGACAGACCCAGCAGGTGCCGCGGGTTGACTGCTGTGCCAGGCTAGGTGCAGGAGGAGGTCACGAGACAGACCCTACAGGTACCATAGGTTGACTGCTGTGCCAGGCTAGGTGCAGGAGGTCTCGGGACAGACCCAGCAGGTGCCATGGGTTGACTGCTGTGCCAGGCTAGGTGCAGGAGGAGGTCACGTGACAGACCCTGCAGGTACCATGGGTTGACTGCTGTGCCAGGCTAGGTGCACGAGGTCACGGGACAGACCCTACAGGTGCAATTGGTTGACTGCTGTGCCAGGCTAGGTGCACGAGGAGGTCACGTGACAGACCCAGCAGGTACCATAGGTTGACTGCTGTGCCAGGCTAGGTGCAGGAGGTCTCGGGACAGCCCCCCCAGCAGGTGCCATGGGTTGACTGCTGTGCCAGGCTAGGTGCAGGAGGACGTCACGTGACAGACCCAGCAGGTGCAATAGGTTAGCTTCTGTGCCAGGCTAGGTGCAGGAGGTGGTCCACGGCTCAGACCCTACAGGTGCAATAGGTTGACTGCTACTGTGCCAGGCTAGGTGCAGGAGGAGGTCACGGGACAGACCCTACAGGTGCAATAGGTTGTACTGCTGTGCCAGGCTAGGTGCAGGAGGAGGTGGTCACGGGAGAGACCCTGGCAGGTGCCGTGGATTCATAGACCGATGACAGATGAGCAATTCAAGCTAAAACTATTTTGTCGTTGACCAGGCAAGGCCCACCTGGCCATCCACGAAATGACGTCTCAACGAAGCGGCTCGTCGCCATCACGTCGAAACGTACGGCAGCGGTGATTCTAACTGTGGAGGGAAAAAGGGACCCCGAGAAAAATCCCCGAGACCACCACGGAGAGAGAGAGAGAGAGAGACGCAGAGCCGAAATATAGAGCGGGCGTCAGGGTTGGGATCAAAAGCCACGTGTGATCTCCCATGTACCCCAGGGCGAGGTGGTTAACATCTTTTAAAAATCCACCGCGGTGCCGCCCCCCCCCCCCCCCCCGTGCCCGCAGCTGTGACAGCTTGATGCTTTTGAGCCGCCCCGGCGCTCCGCTCTTCGTTGCTAAGCATCTCTCCTCCGCTGTTGCCGGAGGGCGACACTGCCTCCCAAACTGCCCACCGGCCTCGAGATGCACCTAGCCTGGCACTGCCCAGTCGTATCCTTCACGATCCTCCTCCTCCCTCTACAGAGGGCCGATCCTGAGCACCGCTGGTACCGTCCATCGGCAAGTAAAATCTATGGCAGGGGTCATCTTACAGACGACGGGCTCCATACCCATGTTGTGGCGTCAAGGACATGGGTGTGAATCCGCTGTTCCGTCACTACGTAGTCCAGCAGGTGGTCTTGCTTGGACCCGGCGTGCATCCGTGATGTCGTGTGGATGCGCCGATGCCGGAACAGCGCGTTTGGTAGTTACGTAAGCCCATGGACTGCACAGAAGTTCTAGCAGCCTCCTATACCGTTGTTATTGAGGTGATCTGGCCCATGCCTTCCAATCACTCCGACGCCCACCCAACCACCCACCCACTCACCCACCCACACAATAACCCACCCACACACCCACCCCCCCACTCACCCCCACCCACACACTCACACACCCAAACACCCACCCCCACTCAATCATTCCGACACCCACCCAACCACCCACCCACCCACCCACTCACCCACCCACACACTCACACACCCAAACACCCACCCCCCCACTCACCCCCACCCACACACTCACACACCCAAACACCCACCCCCACTCAATCATTCCGACACCCACCCAACCACCCACCCACCCACCCACTCACCCACCCACACACTCACACACCCACACACCCACCCCCCCACTCACCCCCACCCACACACTCACACACCCAAACACCCACCCCCCCACTCACCCCCACCCACACACTCACACTCACACACCCAAACACCCACCCCCCCACTCACACCCACCCACACACTCACACACCCAAACACCCACCCCCACTCAATCATTCCAACACCCACCCATCCACCCACCCCCCCCACTCACCCACCCACTCACTCACATACCCACTCACCCACCCACCCACACACTCACCCACCCACCCACCCACACACTCACCCACACACTCACCCACTCACCCACTCACCCCCCCACTCACCCACCCACCCACCCCCCCCACTCACCCACCCACACACTCACCCACACACTCACCCACCCACCCACTCACCCACCCACCCACTCACCCACACACTCACCCACCCACTCACCCACCCACCCACTCACCCACTCACCCACCCCCCCACTCACCCACCCACTCACCCACCCACTCACCCACCCACTCACCCACCCACCCACTCACCCACTCACCCACCCCCCCACTCACCCACCCAACCACCCAACCACCCACCCACACACTCACACACCCAAACACCCACCCCCACTCAATCATTCCGACACCCACCCAACCACCCACCCACTCACCCACCCACCCACACTCACCCACCCACACACTCACCCACCCCCCCACTCACCCATACACCCACCCATCCACCCCAACTCACCCTGCCGGGGTGGGGGCCGTGATTGGAGGGGGGGACCCCCAGGCCGCCCTTCGCCTCGGGGGCCACGAGGGGTCTCGGCTTTGGGCTCCACGTTGGCCTGTCCTCACGAAACACACAGACACACACAGACACACACACACAGAGAGAGAAAGAGGCACACAGGCAATGCACGCACATCGCCATCGAGTCTTCGAGTCTCAGCGCGAGTCCGTGGTTCTCGCACAGGTGTCAAAACAGGCAAATACAAAGATCCCCCGTGTTAGCCTGTCTTACAGACTTTCGGGGCAAGTGCTGTGAGCGAGCAGCATACTGTGAAGGCTACCGGGCTCTGTGGTGCACGAGGGGGTGGGGTGGCCAGCAACCACGCCCGGCCGCCTTTGTCTCCCCCCAGTGGCGATGTTCACTACACACCGCACCACCAGGTACTCATTTGAAGGCTTAGTAGAGCTAGGGGAGGCCCAGGACCGGTTCAGATGATCGTTCCCTGGTGTGGGCCACGAGCGGGAATCAAACTCGGGTCGCCGGGTTTGCTGCAACAACAACAACAACCGCCATTCGCAACGAAGTGGCGGTGCCGTGTCACTTGTGCCAGGCTAAGTGCACTTGAAGGCCAAGTGATGTGTTGAACGCCCGCTGGCAGGTCATGGGATCGACCCCAGGTGCCATAGGTTCATTGACTGAGATGACTGGCAGACGCACCACCTGTGCCCCCGACCGTGTCAACTTGCTGTGCTTTAGCCACCCGGCGCTCCGCTCGTTGTTGTGAGCGTCGCTCCTCCGCCCTCCGTTGTTGTTGGAGGGCGACTGCCTCCAACTGCCCAGTAGCAGCGTCCTTCACGAGCCTCCTCCACAGAGGCCGATCTTGACACCGCTGGTACCGGTCATCGGCAAGTGCAGTCAGCTCCACATCCTCTTGTACCACATCACTCCATCTCTTCTCTAGCCCGTGCCACGCCCGCTTAGCCCCCCTCTATCCGACTGAACAAAAGCTGTTCAGGCATGCGGTGGGCATGCGGGCTAAATGACCCAGCCAACGCATCCTTGCCTGCCGGAGGAGCTCACCGATGGGACTTTGTCCAGATATTTCAAGGATTTGCGAGCTCCTCACACAATCCAGCCTGCAGGTTAAACCCAGAATAGATCGTAGGCAGGCGAGCCTAAATGTTTACAACTGGCACAGATGTTCCATTAGGGGGGGTCCACGTTTTTCAAGCATAGACAAGGGAGGGCATGACTGTGGCTGAGAAAACCCGAAGCTTCGTGTGGAACAACAGACCAGGTAGCTTCCACACAGCGTTACGCAGCCTATGAAAAGATATTGCCGCTGGACTGTTTCGGAGCGAGACCTCTGCTGTCAAACCGGAGGTCATAAGCACCCTGCTCCATCACCAATTGGGAGTTGTGGGGGGTGGAGTGTCTGATGGCACTTAATACCCAGGCAGGTGCTTAGAGTTCGGGGGGCTGATGGTAAAGCCCCCCCCACCTCTTAGTGGCACGCTCCAGGTTCAGCAGCAGCGCCTCCAACTCCCCCTCTGAGTGAGCAACAATCACCAGATCATCAGCATACATAACATGGTTGACCAATAGGGGAGCCATCCCTTGACCGCACCCGGGCATCGATCAGCCTTCCATTGTACCTGTGCCAGATGGAGATTCTTCCGGTACAGCCATCGAAGGCGTCACAAACTACATGGGCAAAAAAGCTGTCGCACCCCGAGCTGAACAGGGAATGGCTCCGACTCCTGGCCACGTAGTTTTACCCGAGTCTGCTCACCATCATGAAAGTCATTAACGATTGTGAGCAGAGTCAGGGACTCTAAAAGCACAAAGATCAACCCAGAGCCCAGGCCTATTGATGGTAGCATAGGCCTTGACCAGATCAATAAAGCAGAGATGTAGGTCCTGTTGGAATTCCCTACACCTCTGCTGTAGCAGCCGGACGTAAAATATGGCATCTGTGCAGGACCGCCCTGGCCTGAAACCGCATTGGGGCTCTGCAAGCCTCTCCTCAGCGCGCCTGGCAAGGCAATGTTCAATAATCCTTGCCAGGACCTCTCCCAGCACGCTGAGGAAGGATATGCCCCTGTAGTTGTTACAGTCTGTGCAGTCCCCCTTCTTAAAGAGGGCGACCACCAGGGCATCCTTCAAATCCTGCACAACCTGTCCAGTGGTTCAGGCTGTTATTATTATGTCACATAAACACCACCCTCCCTCAACATTTCGCTTGGGTATTCATCTCTGCCCGGTGGCTTTCCTGGCCACAGACTCCGGATCGCCTTCAGCACTTCCTCAACAGATGGCACCTCAGCCAGCTACTCACAGGGGGTGACTTCTTCCAATATTTGAGGCACCGCAGCCCTCAGCAGGATCGTCCTCACTTTGCCCCATGATGTTTTCCAGGCTGAGGGATTTCCCCTCCGAAAATCTGCAAACCTGTCCCTGGGGGTCAGAGGTCGGATCACCTTTCTTTCCCCTAATGGTGGCGATAGGTGCGCCTTTGCACGTTACTTTTTTGATGGCGTTTGTGATTGCGGGCTATTGAGGCAAACTCCATTTTTCTCAGCAACCCACGACCAACACCCATCCTTGCAGCGCCGCACGGCTCTCCGAACCTTTCGAGCGAAGGCTGCCGGTAAAAGCCTCCTCATTTTCCGACGCGAGAGATGCTGTAGACGGTGGGAGTGGGTTTGTCGCTTTTTCTCAGCCAGCCAGAACACCTCCTCCGTCAGCCCAGGGTCTCTGGGGAGGTTTGGACCGTGTACCCAAATCAGCCATTACAGCTGCATGAGCCACAGTCCAAAACCTCGCCCATTTCCCCTCGGCATCAGGAGGTGGGGGGGCGGGGGAACGATGCCAACCCAAGCTGCAAGCGATGATGAAATTCTCGCGTGCAACTTTCATTAGCTGGCCGAGACCAGGTTACTGTGGGCTTGAATGGGGTCCTGGGTGTAGACCCACCACCCGAGTGGAAGAATGGCATGTGCATCTTACAGATGATAAGCCGACGGTCAGTGGGCAGCAGATCAGCTCCACGGTAGGTCCTGTTGTCAAGGACATGGGCTCGCATCCGCTGTCCCGTCACTATATAGTCCAGTCGGATGTTCTTGCCTGGACGCGGCATGCATCCATGACGTTGCGTGGATGCGTCGATGCCGGAACAGCGCGTTGGTAATTACAAGCCGATGGACTGCACAGAAGTCTAGCAGCCTCCTACCATTGTTCTTGAGCTGATCTGGCTCATGCCTTCCAATCATTCCAACGCAGGTGCCAGCATCATGACCCATCGGGCATTAAAGTAATCCAACAAGATGACTATCCCGAGGGGCAACTTTAGCCAGCACCTGTGACAGGAGGTCACAGACGGCATCTGACTCATCGGCCTTGCTTGCATCTTTCCACTGATGTTCATCTTCGGTGGGGGCCAACGAGTAACAAACACCACTCGTCGCCTCCGGTTGATGTGAATGCGAGCCCACAGTAGCCTGGGGCTCTTACCAGCTTCCCACACCTCACCGGTCACGCAACTCCCACGGCTTCCCCTTCATTATTTTGTTCAAAAGAAGAGCCGCTCCCTTTTGTTTGGCAGCCTCCTGTCCGAGCGGAGGACTGTCCACCCCCCCCTCTCACGGTGACTCAAGCCAACGCCAGTCCACCGGACCTCCTGAATACCGCAAAGAGCTCCTGACAGAGGAGCGGGCAGCCTCTCTCCTCTGCGGTCGGCGTTCGAACATTCCACGTGGCCACTCGCAGTGGCTTTCTTTGCGGTTTTCCCGAAGAACCCCGAGCTAAAGGATTCAATCTTGACTTAAAGCTTTTGCGACTGCAGGAATTCATATTCTTTTGGATCTTTCGGCAAAGCCACGGAGATATGTTTAACACGTAGCAAGCTTTCGCGACGAATAGTATTCATAATAATAAAGGTTGTTTTTGGGTTAGATCGCATTTGTTTATAAATGTGTCGAAACCCCTCCACCACCCGACACGGCCAATCAGCAAAAAAAAAGTGTCACGTTGACAAAAAGACACAAATAGTTCACTACTTTAGCCCACCGGTGTGTTGTTGAAGAGTGAATCCACAACATTTACAGTTTGAGTATGACGTTTCGCTGGTAAATACACCCAGCATCATCGGGCAATTCGCCAGAATGGTAAAGCCCTCGCTTGCTCCCGGTTTTACCATTCTGGCGAATTGCCCGATGATGCTGCTGGATGTATTTACCAGCGAAACGTCACAGTACAACTCAAACTGTAAATGTTGTAGAGATTCACTCTTCAACAACACACCGGCGAGGGGCTAAAGCAGTGAACTATTTGTGTCTTTTTGTCAACGTGACACTTTTTTTTATTTTGCTGATTGGCCGTGTCCGGGTGGTGGAGGGTTACGACACATTTATAAATAAACGCGATCTAACCCAAAAACAACCTTTATTATAAACAAAACAAAAAAACGACGTCTCGATGGCGACACATTCGTTCGTCGTAAGGAAGAGGGCGTTGTGTAGCTTCTAAACGTAAACCGTTCATAGAGGTTTGAAATGGGCGTGGCCCAAATGTCCGCAAGCAACCAATGTTAATGCGGGTGGCGTGCAGCGACCGCGACGGTGCTGGGTTTTCCACCAATCAGAAAGGCCGCCGGGTAAAAATTAGCATGTTGACGTAAGGTACCTCGAGAGGCATCCACGGCAGGCGCCCCGAGGTGGCTATTGTTAATGCGAGAGATGTTAATGCGAGAGACGTTAACGCGAGAGATGTTAATGCGAGAGATGTTAATGGGAGAGATGTTAATGCGAGAGACGTTAACGCGAGAGACGTTAACGCGAGAGATGTTAATGCGAGAGATGTTAACGCGAGAGATGTTAATGCGAGAGATGTTAATGTGAGAGATGTTAATGTGAGAGATGTTAATGGGAGAGATGTTAATGCGAGAGATGTTAATGTGAGAGACGTCAATGCGAGAGATGTTAACGCGAGAGATGTTAATGTGAGAGACGTTAACGCGAGAGATGTTAATGCGAGATATGCTAATGCGAGAGATGTTAATGCGAGAGATGTTAATGTGAGAGACGTTAATGCGAGATATGTTAATGCGAGAGACGTTAATGTGAGAGATGTTAATGTGAGAGATGTTAATGTGAGAGACGTTAACGCGAGAGATGTTAATGCGAGAGATGTTAATGTGAGAGATGTTAATGTGAGAGATGTTAATGGGAGAGATGTTAATGCGAGAGATGTTAATGTGAGAGACGTCAATGCGAGAGATGTTAACGCGAGAGATGTTAATGTGAGAGACGTTAACGCGAGAGATGTTAATGCGAGATATGCTAATGCGAGAGATGTTAATGCGAGAGATGTTAATGTGAGAGACGTTAATGCGAGATATGTTAATGCGAGAGACGTTAATGTGAGAGATGTTAATGTGAGAGATGTTAATGTGAGAGACGTTAACGCGAGAGATGTTAATGCGAGAGATGTTAATGTGAGAGACGTTAATGGGAGAGATGTTAATGTGAGAGATGTTAATGTGAGAGACGTTAATGCGAGAGATGTTAATGCGAGAGATGTTAATGCGAGAGATGTTAATGTGAGAGATGTTAATGCGAGAGATGTTAATGCGAGAGATGTTAATGCGAGAGATGTTAATGCGAGAGATGTTAATGTGAGAGATGTTAATGCGAGAGATGTTAATGCGAGAGATGTTAATGCGAGAGAAGTTAATGCGAGATGTGTTAATGCGAGAGATGTTAATGCGAGAGATGTTAATGTGAGAGATGTTAATGCGAGAGATGTTAATGCGAGAGATGTTAATGCGAGAGATGTTAATGCGAGAGATGTTAATGTGAGAGATGTTAATGCGAGAGATGTTAATGCGAGAGATGTTAATGCGAGAGAAGTTAATGCGAGATATGTTAATGCGAGAGACGTTAATGCGAGAGATGTTAATGCGAGAGATGTTAATGCGAGAGAAGTTAATGCGAGATGTGTTAATGCGAGAGATGTTAATGCGAGAGATGTTAATGTGAGAGATGTTAATGCGAGAGATGTTAATGCGAGAGATGTTAATGCGAGAGATGTTAATGCGAGAGATGTTAATGTGAGAGATGTTAATGCGAGAGATGTTAATGCGAGAGATGTTAATGCGAGAGAAGTTAATGCGAGATATGTTAATGCGAGAGACGTTAATGCGAGAGATGTTAATGCGAGAGATGTTAATGCGAGAGATGTTAATGCGAGATATGTTAATGCGAGAGATGTTAACGCGAGATATGTTAATGCGAGAGACGTTAATGTGAGATATGTTAATGCGAGAGATGTTAATGCGAGAGATGTTAATGCGAGAGATGTTAATGCGAGAGATGTTAATGCGAGAGATGTTAATGCGAGAGATGTTAATGCGAGAGATGTTAATGCGAGAGACGTTAATGTGACAGACGTTAATGTGAGAGTCAAGGATGAAGTCTCCTGGCTCCGCCAAATGGGGTTTGGCTAGGAGACGTCATAGGCGTCTGTGCCCCCGGGGGGCCTATGGCACAAGCTTAGTTCGACGTTTTTCCACGTGGGTTGGATGGTACTTAGGTTGAAGGTGGAAGGGGGGGGGGGGTTACCAGCTCCTTGCACGCGTCCAAACGCCACTCATTTACACACTCACACACAGACCCACGTCACCACCACCACCACCATCATCATCACCTGTGTTGGCACCACCTTGTGATGCACGAAGGTGGTGGCTGTCTGGGCGGGTAGCCCCCCTCCCTGGGAGAGGTTTTTGCTGGTCACGGATGCCCACGAGAATGGCTGTTTGGTGGGTAGGGGCACGGGGGGGGGGGGCGGGCATGAACAACGACTCGGTTACATGGTCAGTCGTCTCCTAGTCACTGTTCTGAAGCTGCTGCTATTACTAAAGCTGCTGCTGCTGCTACCACCACCGTGGCGGATACTGTTCCGGTGAACCTCGCCAACTCATCCAGTCCATCAATCGCACGCTCGCAAATTAATCCGCTCACCCGCCCACCCACTCACCCGCCAATTCACCCACCCACCCACCCACAAAGCCGCTCACTCGCACGTCAATTCACCCACTCACCCAAACACTTCACTTACCTACTCACCCACCCACCCACTCACCAATTTACTCACCCACCCACCCACAAAGCCGCTCGCTCGCACGTCAATTCACCCACTCACCAAACACTTCACTTACCTACTCACCCACCCACCCACTCACCCACCAATTCACTCACCCACTCACTTACACCACCAATTCACCCACCCACCCACTCACCCACCAATTCACTCACCCACCCACCCACAAAGCCGCTCACTTGCACATCAATTCACCCACTCACCCAACACTTCACTTACCTACTCACCCACCCACCCACTCACCAATTCACTCACCCACCCACCCACAAAGCCGCTCACTCGCACGTCAATTCACCCACTCACCCAACACTTCACTTACCTACTCACCCACCCACCCACTCACCCACCAATTCACTCACCCACTCACTTACCCACCAATTCACCCACCCACCCACTCAGCCACCAATTCACTCACCCACCCACCCACAAAGCCGCTCACTCGCACGTCAATTCACCCACTCACCCAACACTTCACTTACCTACACACCCACCCACCCACTCACCCACCAATTCACTCACCCACTCACTTACCCACCAATTCACCCACCCACCCACTCAGCCACCAATTCACTCACCCACCCACCCACAAAGCCGCTCACTCGCACGTCAATTCACCCACTCACCCAACACTTCACTTACCTACTCACCCACCCACTCACCCACCAATTCACTCACCCACTCACTTACCCACCAATTCACCCACCCACCCACTCACCCACCAATTCACTCACCCACCCACCCACAAAGCCGCTCACTCGCACGTCAATTCACCCACTCACCCAACACTTCACTTACCTACTCACCCACCCACCCACTCACCCACCAATTCACTCACCCACTCACCCACCAATTCACCCACCCACCCACTCAGCCACCAATTCACCCACCCACAAAGCCGCTCACTCGCACGTCAATTCACCCACTCACCCAACACTTCACTTACCTACTCACCCACCCACCCACTCACCCACCAATTCACTCACCCACTCACTTACCCACCAATTCACCCACCCACTCACCCACCAATTCACTCACCCACCCATCCACAACGCTCACTCGCACGTCAATTCACCCACTCACCCAACACTTCACTTACCTACTCACCCACCCACCCACTCACCCACCAATTCACTCACCCACTCACTTACCCACCAATTCACCCACCCACCCACTCAGCCACCAATTCACCCACCCACCCACAAAGCTGCTCACTCGCACGTCAATTCACCCACTCACCCAACACTTCACTTACCTACTCACCCACCCACCCGCTCAGCCACCAATTCACTCACCCACTCACTTACCCACCAATTCACCCACACACCCACTCAGCCACCAATTCACCCACCCACCCACCCACAAAGCCACTCACTCGCACGTCAATTCACCCACTCACCCAACACTTCACTTACCTACTCACCCACCCACCCACCCACTCACCCAACAATTCACTCACCCACTCACTTACCCACCAATTCACCCACCCACCCACCCACCAATTCACCCACCCACTCACCCACCAATTCACTCACCCACCCACCCACAAAGCCGCTCACTCGCACGTCAATTCACCCACTCACCCAACACTTCACTTACCTACTCACCCACCCACCCACTCACCCACCAATTCACCCACCCACCCACTCAGCCACCAATTCACTCACCCACCCACCCACAAAGCCGCTCACTCGCACGTCAATTCACCCACTCACCCAACACTTCACTTACCTACTCACCCACCCACCCACTCACCCACCAATTCACTCACCCACTCACTTACCCACCAATTCACCCACCCACCCACTCACCCACCAATTCACCCACCCACCCACTCACCCACCAATTCACCCACCCACCCACCCACAAAGCCACTCACTCGCACGTCAATTCACCCACTCACCCAACACTTCACTTACCTACTCACCCACCCACCCACTCACCCACCAATTCACTCACCCACTCACTTACCCACCAATTCACCCACCCACCCACTCAGCCACCAATTCACCCACCCACCCACCCACAAAGTCGCTCACTCGCACGTCAATTCACCCACTCACCCAACACTTCACTTACCTACTCACCCACCCACTCACCCACCAATTCACTCACCCACTCACTTACCCACCAATTCACCCACCCACCCACTCAGCCACCAATTCACTCACCCACCCACCCACAAAGCCGCTCACTCGCACGTCAATTCACCCACTCACCCAACACTTCACTTACCTACTCACCCACCCACCCACCAATTCACTCACCAACTCACTTACCCACCAATTCACCCACCCACCCACTCAGCCACCAATTCACTCACCCACTCACTTACCCACCAATTCACCCACCCACCCACCCACTCAGCCACCAATTCACCCACCCACCCATTCACCTTTGGTGGTGCAGGTTCCACAGCTGCTGTCGCTGCTGATGCTGTTGCTGCTGTTGCCGATGCAACTGCTGCCGCCGCTGCTACCACTGCCGCTGCCGACGTTGCTGCTGCTGATGTTGATGACGATGCAGTGTGGGTCTCAATAGTTGTTGGCGACACCTCCTCCTCCTCCTCCGCCTCTTCCTCCTCCTCCACCTCCTCCACCGCCTCATCAGCATCACCTCCTCTACCGGCCGCGTCTCCCCGCATCTCTTCCTTTGGCAACTGATGAAGTTGCTGCTGCTGCTGATGTTGTTGCTGCTGCTGCTGCTGCTGCTGTTGTTGCTGATAATGATGTTGGGTGTTGTTTGAGATAGGTTGTGTCATATCGGAAGGCGCGTTGCTGTTAAAGAGAGGGAACATCGTTGAACATTAGGCAGCAGCAATATCATCAGCTTGCAAATCCTTGAAAGATCCGGACACAGTCCCATCATCGGTGAGCTCCTCCGGCAGGCAAAGAGGCTGCGTTGGCTGGGTCATGTAGCCCGCATGCACAGCCAGCGCATGCCTAAACAGCTTTTGTTCGGCCGGATAGAGGGAATTAAACTTGAACAAAACGGCCTGGAGAAGAGACGGAGTGATGTGGTACAGGAGGACGTGGAGCTGAGTGGACTTCGCCGATGACTGGTACCAGCGGTGTCAAGATCGGCCTCAGTGGAGGAGGCTCGTGAAGGATGCTGCTACTGGGCAGTTGGAGGCAGTCGCCCTCCAACAACAACGGAGGGCAGAGGAGCGACGCTCACAACAACAAGTGGAGTGCTGGGCGGACAAAACGCAGCAAGTTGGCGCAATAGGGGGCACAGCTGGTGCATCTGCCCGTCATCTCAGTCTCAACTAAAAACTAAACTATGTTTTAGTTTACCAAATAAGGGCCACTGAACTATGCAGCTCTTTTCTAGAAGCGACCTGGCAACAAATGATTGCTCAAAAAGTGGCTTATCATCAAGTGAAAAAGTATAGCACCGAAATTACTCTAAATGCGTGATGTTGATTATAAATGTGGAGGAGAAAAATCCACCCAGTGACCACCGCAGACAGAGAGAGAAAAAGATGTGAACTTCAAATATATATATCAGCAGGCACCAGGGTCAGGATCGAACCCACGACCTCCTGCATACCAGAGAAGGAAGACAAACACAAAGATCCTCCGTGTAGCCTTAACAGACTGTTGGGGCAAGCGCTGCTAGCAGCAGAACCTTTGAAGCCAGCGCCACGCCCGGCCGCATTTACACACCGCACCAGGTACTCATTTGAGGCTGAATCGACCTGGGCGAGGCCCAGCACCGGTTCAGATAATTGTCACTGGCATTGGTGGCTGTGATGCGAGATTCAGGCACACACACGCAGATGATGCCAGACCCAAGGCTTGAACCCAGGATATCGAGTGTCTCCGACAAGGCCATCGTGAACCAAACCACACAGCCCATTGCGAACCCACTCACAAAGACACGGCCATCGTGAAACCCCACCGGACAAGGCCATCGTGAACCCACTCACACCGACACGGCAAGCGTGAACCCTACCACCGACACGGCCATCGTGAACCCACTCACCCGGGTGAGTGAGTCTCGTAGAGAGGAGAGCCGTTCTCCGCTTCAGAGTCTCCCTCCCCTTCCTCCTCCTCCTCCTCTTCTTCCTCCTCCAGGTCTGCAGAGGCAACGGGGGACAGAAGCACCATGGCACTGTGGGTAACGGGCGTCACCACGGTGGCTCAGGGGTGTTAACTCCCTCGCCTGGTGTGCAGGGGTTCGTGGAATCGATCCCCCACCGTGACCGTTGCCTGCTGATGTATATTTTGAGTTTGCGGTATGACGAGATGTTAACCACCCCGCCTAGCATGCAGGAGGTCGTGGGTTCGATCCCAGCCCTGACAATGCCTGCTGCATTATATTTCGAGTTTGGGTCTCTCTCTTTTTATGTGGTTGCGTGAATTTTTTCTCCGGGACCCCCCGGTTTTTCTCCTCCCACATTTAGAAACATCGCGCGTTTAGAGAGTATTTGGCTGCTGCTATGAATCTCCACGTGATGATGATGATTGATGATGATGAAAAGCCACCACTTCATTGAGATGCTGTCATTTGTCCATGTTCACAAGTACCGTGGATGTGGTTAATGCATTAACTTGATTCCTTGCAACATCTTAACACCTAAATTTTGATTTAAAGCTTTCGTGACTGCAGTAATTCATATTCTTAGCTCTTTCGGTAAAGTCACGTTGAAGGGAAACAATAAAATAAGAAAATGTATATTTTATTATTTTATAAAATAATAATAATAATATATTTTAACAATAATATATACATTAAACAAATATATTTTATTTTATAAAATAAAAAATATATATTTTATTATTTGATTGTTTCCCTTCAACGTGACTTTACCGAAAGAGCTAGGAATATCTTAACACCTGTTTTATTGCCAGAAAGGGTAAAACCTATTCTTGTTTCTGTCATATCTCTCGTTTGTCTGTGTATATCTGTGTCTCTGCATATGTCTCTGTATATCTCTGTATACGTCTCTGTATATATATAAAAAGGTGTAAAAGCAGGGAGACCGACCGGGAGCCAGTTGCAGCAATCGAGACGAGCGAACACGAGGGGAGGGCATGAGGAGTTCGGCAGCGATAGGAGTGATGAGGCCAGACGTTGATGATGCTGTGCAGATGGTAATAGCGTGTGCGAGTGCCGTTGGCAATGTGTGGGAAGTGAAGGAAAGCATCGCCGCTGTCCACCCCTTATCAGTGCCCTACCTTAAGTCTAGACCAATTAGAGACCTTATCGGTCACTCCGTGCCCCTGATAAATCTCAACGCTCATCCTACGAAGCACCATCCCAAGGGGAAAAACACAAAGAGACAATCACCATGACTACACTCACCACTAGTACACACAACACTCACCACTACACTGCTACACTACCTGTCAACCCCCTTATCAGTGCCCTACCTTATCACAAACCAATTCAGATCTTATCGATCACCCCCGTTTCCCCTGCCCCTGATAAATCTCAACGTTCATCCTACGAAGCACCATCCCAAGGGGAAAAACACAAATAGACAATCATCATGACTACACTTCACCACTAGTACACACAACACTCACCACTACACTACTACACTACCTGTCAACCCCTTATCAATGCCATACCTTATTACAGACCAATTTAGACCTTAATGGTCACCCCGTGCCCCTTATAAATCTCAACGTTCATCCTACGAAGCACCATCCCAAGGGAAAAAACACAAACGAAGAGACAATCACCATGACTACACTCACCACTAGTACACACAACACTCACCACTACACTACTACACTACCTGTCAACCCCCTTATCAGTGCCCTACCTTATCACAAACCAATTCAGATCTTATTGGTCACCCCCGTTTCCCGTGCCCCTGATAAATCTCAACGTTCATCCTACAGAGCCCCATCACAAGGGGGATACACACAAATACTCACCACTAGTACACTCACCACTACAAACCTGTCAACCCCTTATCAGTGCCCTACCTTATCACAAACCAATTCAGATCTTATCGGTCACCCCCCGTTTCCCCTGCCCCTGATAAATCTCAACGTTCATCCTACGAAGCAACATCCCAAGGGGAAAAACACAAACGAAGAGACAATCACCACGACTACACTCACTGAGGGTTGGGGGGGGAGAAAGAGATGTGAGGGTCACAAGGAAGGAGGGCTGAGCAAGAGGTTGGTAATAAAACAACCAATGCTTCGGAAGGATCGAGGGACAGGACAAGTCCACGGGTCATCCAAACCTCAGACGGCTGTGCAGGCGGGACGAGATGCGGAGGGAAAATCCGGGGGGGGGGGGGGGGGGGGGGGGGGGGGGGCGAGTGGCGTGGGGTGGGAACTAAATTTTGAAGGAGTCGGAGCGGAGAATCTGAGCGTCAACCTGGCAAATGAGCGGTGGTGGGAGATATCGAAGGACGGAAGGAATTGAGTCGAGGGGGAGAATCGTACCGAGCCCCCGCCCACCCCATCCGGGGGGACACCGACCGTGGCAGGGGAGGAGTTTTTGGAGGCGGTCGATGGGAGCGGGAAGTTAGGGCAAAGGAACGGCAGCCAAAGAGAGAGAAGAGGGGAGCGTCGAGAGAGCGGCGAAGAGGTTAAGGGGTGTCGGAAGAAAAGAAGACGAATCATCATCATCATCATCGTCGTCGTCGACAGAGAGAGAGAGAGAGAGATAAAGGACGGATCACCGGAGCGACACGAGTTGGCCGGGCGCTTGTAGAAGCGATCTGGTGGGGGGGGCGGGGGAAACCGAAGCTGTTCATGGGGGCCGGGGGGTTTGGATAAAACAAGCGAGGGATCGACAGGCGTGCGACAGTGTCCAGGGGGCCAGAATGGACCTCGAGAGGAGGAGGAGGGTCTTGGAAGCGGCTGGGGAAAACGCTGGAGGGGAGGGGAGGGAAAAGAGTCCAAGGGAGCCAAGAGGAACGGGATAATAATAATAATAATAATAATAGGGGTTTTTCACCTTTTTCTGGCAACAAAACTTCAAGTTGTTTTTTTGTTTTTTACGAGGATTCATATTCACTGCATTAACAACAATACTTGCAGTCAAACTGAAAGAACAAAAAAAAACACACACTCTCTGATAATATGTGACGCATTGTCCTTGAAACTGATTGGTCCACACACCAGAGACGGCTTTCTTTAGAGCCTAGTCTCAGTTGGTGCTAGACCAGATGACGCCAAAAGGCGCCTTTTTGCTGGCTATTCTTCTCAGCTCCTTCGCACACAGCGTCTTCGCACACTCCGTACACAGCGTTTTCAGCTCCGCTATCGCTACGCTCACTCCACTGCTAACTGCTCCGTCTTGCTTCACACTCTGTTCCAACTCCGTTTCCCACTCTGTCTCCAAACTCTGTCTCCAAACGCTGTCTCCAAACGCTGTCTCCAAACGCTGTCTCCAAACTCTGTCTCCAAACTCTGCCTCCCAACTCTGTCTCCAAACTCTGTCTCCAAACTCTGGCTCCGAACTCTGTCTCCAAACTCTGTCTCCAAACTCTGTCCCCAAAACTCTGTCTCCAAACTCTGTCTCCAAACTCTGTCTCCAAACTCTGTCTCCAAACTCTGTCTCCAAACTCTGTCTCCAAACTCTGTCTCCAAACTCTGTCTCCAAACTCTGTCTCTGAAATCTGTCTCCCAACTCTGTCTCCAAACTCTGTCTCCAAACTCTGTCTCCAAACTCTGTCTCCAAACTTGTCTCCAAACTCTGTCTCCAAACTCTGTCTCCCAACTCTGTCTCCAAACTCTGTCTCCAAACTCTGTCCCCAAACTCTGTCTCCAAACTCTGTCTCCAAACTCTGTCTCCAAACTCTGTCTCCGAACTCTGTCTCCAAACTCTGTCTCCAAACTTTGTCTCCCAACTCTGTCTCCAAACTCTGTCTCCAAACTCTGTCTCCAAACTCTGTCTCCGAACTCTGTCTCCAAACTCTGTCTCCAAACTCTGTCTCCCAACTCTGTCTCCAAACTCTGTCTCCAAACTCTGTCTCCCAACTCTGTCTCCAAACTCTGTCTCCCAACTCTGTCTCCGAACTCTGTCTCCAAACTCTGTCTCCCAACTCTGTCTCCAAACTCTGTCTCCAAACTCTGTCTCCAAACTCTGTCTCCAAACTCTGTCTCCAAACTCTGTCTCCGAACTCTGTCTCCAAACTCTGTCTCCAAACTCTGTCTCCAAACTCTGTCTCCAAACTCTGTCTCCAAACTCTGTCTCCAAACTCTGTCTCCAAACTCTGTCTCCAAACTCTGTCTCTGAAATCTGTCTCCCAACTCTGTCTCCAAACTCTGTCTCCAAACTCTGTCTCCAAACTTGTCTCCAAACTCTGTCTCCAAACTCTGTCTCCAAACTCTGTCTCCAAACTCTGTCTCCAAACTCTGTCCCCAAACTCTGTCCCCAAACTCTGTCTCCAAACTCTGTCTCCCAACTCTGTCTCCAAACTCTGTCTCCAAACTCTGTCTCCGACTCTGTCTCCAAACTCTGTCTCCAAACTCTGTCTCCAAACTCTGTCTCCAAACTCTGTCCCCAAAACTCTGTCTCCAAACTCTGTCTCCAAACTCTGTCTCCAAACTCTGTCTCCAAACTCTGTCTCCAAACTCTGTCTCCAAACTCTGTCTCCCAAACTCTGTCTCCAAACTCTGTCTCCAAACGCTGTCTCCAAACGCTGTCTCCAAACGCTGTCTCCAAACTCTGTCTCCAAACTCTGCCTCCCAACTCTGTCTCCAAACTCTGTCTCCAAACTCTGTCTCCAAACACTGTCTCCAAACTCTGTCTCCAACTCCTGTCTCCCAACTCTGTCTCCAACACTCTGTCTCCAAACGCTGTCTCCAAACTCTGTCTCCAAACTCTGTCTCCAAACTCTGTCTCCAAACTCTGTCCTCCAAACTCTGTCTCCAAACTCTGTCTCCAAACTCTGTCTCCAAACTCTGTCTCCAACTCTGTCTCCAAACTCTGTCTCCAAACTCTGTCTCCAAACTCTGTCTCCAAACTCTGTCTCCAAACTCTGTCTCCAAACTCTGTCTCCAAACTCTGTCTCCCAACTCTGTCTCCAAACTCTGTCTCCAAACTCTGTCTCCAAACTCTGTCTCCAAACTCTGTCTCCAAACTCTGTCTCCGAACTCTGTCTCCAAACTCTGTCTCCAAACTCTGTCTCCAAACTCTGTCTCCAAACTCTGTCTCCAAACTCTGTCTCCAAACTCTGTCTCCAAACTCTGTCTCCAAACTCTGTCTCTGAAATCTGTCTCCCAACTCTGTCTCCAAACTCTGTCTCCAAACTCTGTCTCCAAACTCTGTCTCCAAACTCTGTCTCCAAACTCTGTCTCCAAACTCTGTCTCCAAACTCTGTCTCCAAACTCTGTCTCCAAACTCTGTCTCCAAACTCTGTCTCCAAACTCTGTCTCCCAACTCTGTCTCCAAACTCTGTCTCCAAACTCTGTCTCCGACCTCTGTCTCCAAACTCTGTCTCCAAACTCTGTCTCCAAACTCTGTCTCCAAACTCTGTCCCCAAACTCTGTCTCCAAACTCTGTCTCCAAACTCTGTCTCCAAACTCTGTCTCCAAACTCTGTCTCCCAAACTCTGTCTCCAAACTCTGTCCCCAAAACTCTGTCTCCAAACTCTGTCTCCAAACTCTGTCTCCAAACTCTGTCTCCAAACGCTGTCTCCAAACTCTGTCTCCAAACTCTGCCTCCCAACTCTGTCTCCAAACTCTGTTTCCAAACTCTGTCTCCAAACTCTGTCTCCAAACGCTGTCTCAAAACTCTGTCTCCAAACTCTGTCTCCAAACTCTGTCTCCAAACTCTGTCTCCCAACTCTGTCTCCAAACTCTGCCTCCCAACTCTGTCTCCAAACTCTGTCTCCAAACTCTGCCTCCAAACTCTGTCTCCAAACTCTGTCTCCAAACTCTGTCTCCAAACTCTGTCCCCAAACTCTGTCCCCAAACTCTGTCTCCAAACTCTGTCTCCCAACTCTGTCTCCAAACTCTGTCTCCAAACTCTGTCTCCGACCTCTGTCTCCAAACTCTGTCTCCAAACTCTGTCTCCAAACTCTGTCTCCAAACTCTGTCCCCAAAACTCTGTCTCCAAACTCTGTCTCCAAACTCTGTCTCCAAACTCTGTCTCCAAACTCTGTCTCCAAACTCTGTCTCCAAACTCTGTCCCCAAAACTCTGTCTCCAAACTCTGTCTCCAAACTCTGTCTCCAAACTCTGTCTCCAAACGCTGTCTCCAAACTCTGTCTCCAAACTCTGTCTCCAAACTCTGTCTCCAAACTCTGTCTCCAAACTCTGTCTCCAAACTCTGTCCCCAAAACTCTGTCTCCAAACTCTGTCTCCAAACTCTGTCTCCAAACTCTGTCTCCAAACTCTGTCTCCGAAATCTGTCTCTGAACTCTGTCTCCAAACTCTGTCTCCAAACTCTGTCTCCAAACTCTGTCTCCAAACTCTGTCTCCAAACTCTGTCTCCAAACTCTGTCTCCAAACTCTGTCTCCAAACTCTGTCTCCAAACTCTGTCTCCCAACTCTGTTTCCAAACTCTGTCTCCAAACTCTGTCCCCAAACTCTGTCTCCAAACTCTGTCTCCAAACTCTGTCTCCAAACTTGTCTCCAAACTCTGTCTCCAAACTCTGTCTCCAAACTCTGTCTCCCAACTCTGTCTCCAAACTCTGTCTCCCAACTCTGTCTCCAAACTCTGTCTCCAAACTCTGTCTCCAAACTCTGTCTCCGAACTCTGTCTCCAAACTCTGTCTCCAAACTTTGTCTCCCAACTCTGTCTCCAAACTCTGTCTCCAAACTCTGTCTCCAAACTCTGTCTCCGAACTCTGTCTCCAAACTCTGTCTCCAAACTCTGTCTCCCAACTCTGTCTCCAAACTCTGTCTCCAAACTCTGTCTCCAAACTCTGTCTCCAAACTCTGTCTCCAAACTCTGCCTCCAAACTCTGTCCCCAAACTCTGTCTCCAAACTCTGTCTCCAAACTCTGTCTCCGAACTCTGTCTCTGAACTCTGTCTCCCAACTCTGTCTCCAAACTCTGTCTCCAAACTCTGTCTCTGAACTCTGTCTCCAAACTCTGTCTCCAAACTGTCTCCAAACTCTGTCTCCAAACTCTGTCTCCAAACTCTGTCTCCAAACTCTGTCTCCAAACTCTGTCTCCAAAACTCTGTCTCCAAACTCTGTCTCCAAACTCTGTCTCCAAAACTCTGTCTCCAAACTGTCTCCAAACTGTCTCCAAACTGCTTCCAAACTCTGCCTCCAAACTCTGTCTCCAAACTCTGTCTCCAAACTCTGTCTCCAAAACTCTGTCTCCAAACTCTGTCTCCAACTCCACGTCTTCCTCGTCCAGCTCCCAACTCCAACCAACCCCCCTGTCTCTCTCTGTGCGTCTCCCCCCAATTTATCCCCATTCTCATTATCGCTAATTAATCGGCCCGCGTGCCTCCGTACGCTTCGCCTCCTCGAACGCCTGTCCTTCTTCTCCAGACATCTCGACGCCCCCTCGCCCCTGACAACAGCCACAGCCAATCACCGCCGTTGCTGAGCCTCAGGCTTAATTGGCCCGACCGTTACCTCATCATCCCGGCCCTTGCACCTGGCTGTCCTAACACGACCCACGCTGTTTTCGCCTTCTCCACAGGCTGACCCCAGATAACCCCACACTGTCCGTGTGATCATGCAATCGCGCAGTTTCCACAACACACCTTCATACGCCACTACATATCTATACATCTCTCTGTATATATATGTCTCTCTCTCTCTGTGTGTCTATATATGCATCTCTATCTCTCTGTGCATCTTTCGGTGTCTCTGTATATCTATATCTATCTATCTCTCTCTGTGTGCGTCTCCGTACCTTCACTGTGGTCGCTGTCCGTGAAGACCTCGTCCTGGTAGCGGAAGATGTCGTTCTGAACAAAGAACTTGTTCTGAACAGAGCCCTGCTCACCGCAGGAGACAGACGGCACGGTGGGCGGGTGAGCGAGTGAGCGAGCGGGTAAATGAATGAGCGAGCGAGCGAGCGGACAACTGAGCGAGCGGGCGAATGAGCGAGCGGGCGAATGAGCGAGCGAGCTAATTAGCGGGCGAGCAAGCGACTGGGCGAACAAATGAGCGGGTGGGCGAGCGAATGAATGACCGAGCGAGCGAGCGAGCGGGCGGGCGGGCGGGCGATGGGGGAGCGAGCGATCCGTTCACCTCGGGCGCGAGGATGAAGGTCTGGAGGAATCTGCGCATGGCACCGCCGGCGTTGCTGAGCTCCCCCAGAACCTGCACCACCACAGCACCACCCATTGTCGCCTGAGAGTCGACCGCACGGATCTTGGTGCGGCAGTCGCGGAAGGCTAGAGACACGATCCTGGCGTGGATCTCCTAAAGGTTGGAGGGGAGACACACAGGAGATGCGGGGGGGAGTGTGAGACAGAGACATGGAGACACAGAGATAGAGAGAGACAGACAGTGTGAGAGAGAGAGACAGAGAGAGACAGAGACATGAAGACAGAGAGAGAGAGACAGTGTGAGACAGACACAGAGAGAGTGACAGAGAGAGACAGAGACACTATCCTGGCGTGGATCTCCTAAAGGTTGGAGGGGAGACACACAGGAGATGCGGGGGGGGAGTGTGAGACAGAGACATCAAGACACAGAGAGAGAGAGAGAGACAGTGTGAGAGAGAGAGACAGAGAGAGACAGAGACATGAAGACAGAGAGAGAGAGACAGTGTGAGACAGACACAGAGAGAGTGACAGAGAGAGACAGAGACACTATCCTGGCGTGGATCTCCTAAAGGTTGGAGGGAAGACACACAAGAGATGCAGGGGGAGTGTGAGACAGAGACATCAAGACACACAGAGAGAGAGACAGAGACAGTGTGAGACAGACACAGAGAGAGTGACAGAGAGAGACAGAGACATGAAGACACAGAGAGAGAGAGAGACAGTGTGAGAGAGAGTGACAGAGAGAGTGACAGAGAGAGACAGAGACACTATCCTGGCGTGGATCTCCTAAAGGTTGGAGGGGAGACACACAAGAGATGCAGGGGGAGTGCAAGACAGAGACATCAAGACACACAGAGAGAGAGAGAGAGACAGTGTGAGACAGACACAGAGAGAGTGACACAGAGAGACAGACACAGAGAGAGTGACAGAGAGAGACAGAGACACGATCCTGGCGTGGATCTCCTAAAGATTGGAGGGAGACACACAGAGATGCAGGGGGAGTGTGAGACAGAGACATCAAGACACAGAGAGAGAGAGAGACAGTGTGAGACAGACACAGAGAGAGAGAGAGACAGTGTGAGAGAGAGTGACAGAGAGACACAGTGTGAGACAGACACAGAGAGAGTGACAGAGAGAGAGACAGTGTGAGAGAGACACAGAGAGAGACAGAGAGAGACAGTGTGACAGAGAGAGACAGAGAGAGACAGAGACATGAAGACAGAGAGAGAGAGAGACAGTGTGAGACAGACACAGAGAGAGTGAGAGACAGTGTGAGACAGAGTGACAGAGAGACACAGTGTGAGACAGACACAGAGAGAGTGACAGAGAGACAGAGACACGATCCTGGCATGGATCTCCTAAAGATTGGAGGGAGACACACAGAGATGCATGGGGAGTGCGAGACAGAGACATCAAGACAGAGAGAGAGAGAGACAGTGTGAGAGAGAGTGACAGAGAGAGACAGAGAGAGACAGAGACATGAAGACAGAGAGAGAGAGAGAGACAGTGTGAGACAGACACAGAGAGAGTGACAGAGAGACACAGTGTGAGACAGACACAGAGAGAGTGACAGAGAGAGACAGAGACACTATCCTGGTGTGGATCTCCTAAAGATTGGAGGAGAGACACACAGAGATGCAGGGGGAGTGCGAGACAGAGCCATGAAGACACAGAGAGAGAGAGAGAGACAGTGTGAGACAGACACAGAGAGAGTGACAGAGAGAGAGACAGAGACACTATCCTGGTGTGGATCTCCTAAAGATTGGAGGAGAGACACACAGAGATGCAGGGGGAGTGTGAGACAGAGACATGAAGACACACAGAGAGAGAGACAGTGTGAGACAGACACAGAGAGAGAGTGACAGAGAGAGACAGTGTGAGAGAGAGTGACAGAGAGAGACAGAGACACTATCCTGGCGTGGATCTCCTAAAGATTGGAGGGAGACACACAGAGATGCAGAGGGAGTGCGAGACAGAGACATGGAGACACAGAGAGAGAGAGACAGTGTGAGACAGACACAGAGACACGATCCTGGCATGGATCTCGTTAGAGACACAGAGAGATGGGGAGAGACACGGGGAGGGAGACACGGGTAGGGAGACATGGAGAGAAGACAAGAGGAGACACACGGGAAGAGATACACGGGTAGGGAGAGAGACACGGGGAAGAGACAAAGGGGGAGAGACACGAGGAGAGATACGGGAAGAGATAGACACAAAGGGGGAGTGAGACACGTGGAAAGAGACACGGGGGAGTGTGAGATAAGAGGAGAGACACGTAGAGACGGACGGAGAGAGGACAGAGAGACACGGAAAGACACACGGAGGGAGACAGATTGAGAGAGACACGGACTGAGAGACACGGACAGAGAGACACGGATTGAGAGACACGGAGTGAGACACGTAGAGACGGATGGAGAGAGGACAGAGAGACACGGAAAGACACACGGAGAGAGACAGATTGAGAGAGACACGGACTGAGAGACACGGACAGAGAGACACGGATTGAGAGACACGGAGTGAGACACGTAGAGACGGATGGAGAGAGGACAGAGAGACACGGAAAGACACACGGAGAGAGACAGATTGAGAGAGACACGGACTGAGAGACACGGACAGAGAGACACGGATTGAGAGACACGGAGTGAGACACGTAGAGACGGATGGAGAGAGGACAGAGAGACACGGAAAGACACACGGAGGGAGACAGATTGAGAGAGACACGGACTGAGAGACACGGACAGAGAGACACGGATTGAGAGACACGGAGTGAGACACGTAGAGACGGATGGAGAGAGGACAGAGAGACACGGAAAGACACACGGAGAGAGACAGATTGAGAGAGACACGGACTGAGAGACACGGACAGAGAGACACGGATTGAGAGACACGGAGTGAGACACGTAGAGACGGATGGAGAGAGGAGAAGAGAGACACGGAAAGACACACGGAGGGAGAAAGATTGAGAGAGACACGGACTGAGAGACACGGACAGAGAGACACGGATTGAGAGACACGGAGTGGGAGAGACACAGCGAGAGAAACGGATAGAGGCCGTACCCACCATTTGCCCCACCACAGGCTCGGAAGGTTTTCCGTTTGCATCGACTCCCCCGTGGACGAAGGTGGAGTCCTTGCCATAGAACCTGCGGAGAGACCCACCCACAACACAGCTCAATATAAACGCAGTAGGCTCACATGCCATTGACTTTTCCAAGACGGAGGTTCTTTGTAAGCCATCTGGCTTCCATGAGAGATTCCTTCATGAGGCTATCCACATATACAAGCACAGAGACAATTTCAACCGAGAAGGTGGATTCTGGCTTAGCAACCATTGGAAATATTTGATAAACCATTTCAGTTCTTAATTGATTGTTCACGCTTACAGTGGCTTTCAGACAGCATACATTATAAAAAAAAAATTCGTCTCCCCCCTTCTCTTTTCAGAATATAGATGGACTAGTCCTAAATAATCTGCCAAATCGTTGCGCAAACGTTTTTTTAATAAATAAATAAATGCGCCGTTTAAAATAAATTTATGCAAACCAACACACCTGAAGATGACCGTTTGTGTTATGGTCGAAACGTCGTGAGAATTTTTTTTATTGTTTTATATATATTTTATTATTTTGTTGTTTCTCTTCAACGTGGTGACTTTACCGAAAAAACTAAGAATATGAATATAAATGTTGTGTCGTTAAACCCGCCACCACCCGACACAGCCAACTAGTAAGGTTTTGTCACGTAAACAGAACGTGGCCAATTCGTTACTTAGTACAGCACACCGGTTGTGTGTTGGAGAGTAAACCCACAACATTTACCATCTGAGTACGTCGTTCCGCCAGTAATTACAACCAGCATTGTCAAGACGACAAATCTGGCTGTCACTAAATCATCGCTACTCAACAAAGTGGCTATCACCATCATCATCATCATGTGCACATTTATAGCATCAAAAATAATATAAATAATCTCAATGCTTGTTTCTAAACTAATTAATTTTCATCTCATCAGGTAAAGCCCACTGAGCTAATTAACTTATTTTTCAGAAGTGGACCTGGCCATCACTATAAATAATCTAAATAATCCATAATACAGGTTTTTTTAGGGTGAATAAAAAAAAACCGTTGTGTTGTTAAACCCGCCACCACCCGACACAGCCCAATTAGTAAGGCTTAGTGTCGAACATGGGCAATTCGTGACTAGTACAGCATTTACCTAGTGTGTTGGCTGTCGCCTCATGAAGCCGGTTGTAATTTCTGGCCGAGCGTCGTTACCCCAGATTGCAAATGCTGTGGATTTGCTTTCACAACACACCGGCGCAGTGCTGTGCTAGTAACGAATTGGCACGTTCTGTTTACGTGACAATCCCCCCCCCCTTACGAATTTGCTGTGTCGGGTGGTGGCGGGTTTCACGACACATGTATATTTGCGCGATCTAACCCAACACAAACTGCATTATGAATGAGAATATTATTTTTTTGTCTTCTTTGGTTCTTTCGGTAAAGTCGCCACAATGTAGAATGAGAATAAAATAATAAATTGATAAAATAAAAATAACACGATAATATTCTCACGGTGTTTCGGCCACGACGCTTTACCCGAAAGAACCAAAGAAGATGAATCCTTGCAGTCACGAAAGCCTTTAAATCGAAATGAGAATACTGATCGTGAAAGCCTACTACACGTTAAACAGAAAACTCCCAGTCACTCACAAACACTAAGATCCCCCGTGTAGCCTGTAACAGACTGTTGGGGCAAGTGCTGTTAGCGAGCACCTATGAAGGCCGACACTGCGGCAGACGAGGGGGGTGGGTGGCCAACACCACGCCCGGCCGCCTTTGTCTCCCTAGTGACGATGTTTACACACCGCAGCAGGTACTCATTTGAGGCGGAGTCGACCTAGGGGAGGCTCAGAAACGATTCAGATAATCGTCACCAGTGTTGGCCGTGAGCGGGAATCGAACCCGGGTCGCCAGGTTCGTAGCGCAGCGCGCAAACTGCTACTCAACCGCTCCCCACTCACTCAGCCGCTCCCCACTCACTCAGCAACTCACTCACTCACCCAGTCACTCACTCACCCAATCACTCACTTACTCACTCAGTAACTCACTCACCCAATCACTCACTCACCCAATCACTTACTCACTCAGTAACTCACTCACCCAGTCACTCACTCACCCAATCACTCACTTACTCATTCAGTAACTCACTCACCCAATCACTCACTCACCCAATCACTTACTCACTCAGTAACTCACTCACCCAGTCACTCACCCAATCACTCACTCACTCAGTAACTCACTCACCCAGTCACTCACTCACCCAATCACTCACTCACGCAATCACTCACTCACTCAGTAACTCACTCACCCAATCACTCACTTACCCAAGCACTCACTCACCCAATCACTAACTCATGCAATCACTCACTCACCCAATCACTCACTTACTCACTCAGTAACTCACTCACCCAGTCACTCCCTCACCCAATCACTCACTTACTCACTCAGTAACTCACTCACCAGGTCACTCACCCAATCACTCACTCACTCAGTAACTCACTCACCCAGTCACTCACTCACCCAATCACTTACTTACTCACTCAGTAACTCACTCACCAGGTCACTCACCCAATCACTCACTCACTCAGTAACTCACTCACCCAGTCACTCACTCACCCAATCACTCACTTACTCACTCAGTAACTCACTCACCCAGTCACTCACTCACCCAATCACTCACTTACTTACTCAGTAACTCACTCACCCAGTCACTCACCTAATCACTCACTCACTCAGTAACTCACTCACCCACTCACTCACCCAATCACTCACTCACTCAGTAACTCACTCACTCAATCACTCACTTACTCACTCAGTAACTCACTCACCCAGTCACTCACTCACCCAATCACTCACTTACTCACTCAGTAACTCACTCACCCAATCACTCACTCACGCAATCACTCACTCACCCAATCACTCACTTACTCATTCAGTAACTCACTCACCCAATCACTCACTCACCCAATCACTCACTCACCCAATCACTCACTCACCCAATCACTCACTTACTCACTCAGTAACTCACTCACCCAGTCACTCCCTCACCCAATCACTCACTTACTCACTCAGTAACTCACTCACCAGGTCACTCACTCACCCAATCACTCACTTACTCACTCAGTAACTCACTCACCCAGTCACTCACTCACCCAATCACTCACTTACTCACTCAGTAACTCACTCACCAGGTCACTCACCCAATCACTCACTCACTCAGTAACTCACTCACCCAGTCACTCACTCACCCAATCACTTACTCACTCAGTAACTCACTCACCCAGTCACTCACCCAATCACTCACTCACTCAGTAACTCACTCACCCAGTCACTCACTCACCCAATCACTCACTTACTCATTCAGTAACTCACTCACCCAATCACTCACTCACCCAATCACTTACTCACTCAGTAACTCACTCACCCAGTCACTCACCCAATCACTCACTCACTCAGTAACTCACTCACCCAGTCACTCACTCACCCAATCACTCACTCACGCAATCACTCACTCACTCAGTAACTCACTCACCCAATCACTCACTTACCCAAGCACTCACTCACCCAATCACTAACTCATGCAATCACTCACTCACCCAATCACTCACTTACTCACTCAGTAACTCACTCACCCAGTCACTCCCTCACCCAATCACTCACTTACTCACTCAGTAACTCACTCACCAGGTCACTCACCCAATCACTCACTCACTCAGTAACTCACTCACCCAGTCACTCACTCACCCAATCACTTACTTACTCACTCAGTAACTCACTCACCAGGTCACTCACCCAATCACTCACTCACTCAGTAACTCACTCACCCAGTCACTCACTCACCCAATCACTCACTTACTCACTCAGTAACTCACTCACCCAGTCACTCACTCACCCAATCACTCACTTACTTACTCAGTAACTCACTCACCCAGTCACTCACCTAATCACTCACTCACTCAGTAACTCACTCACCCACTCACTCACCCAATCACTCACTCACTCAGTAACTCACTCACTCAATCACTCACTTACTCACTCAGTAACTCACTCACCCAGTCACTCACTCACCCAATCACTCACTTACTCACTCAGTAACTCACTCACCCAATCACTCACTCACGCAATCACTCACTCACCCAATCACTCACTTACTCATTCAGTAACTCACTCACCCAATCACTCACTCACCCAATCACTCACTCACGCAATCACTCACTCACCCAATCACTCACTTACTCACTCAGTAACTCACTCACCCAGTCACTCCCTCACCCAATCACTCACTTACTCACTCAGTAACTCACTCACCAGGTCACTCACTCACCCAATCACTCACTTACTCACTCAGTAACTCACTCACCCAGTCACTCACTCACCCAATCACTCACTTACTCACTCAGTAACTCACTCACCAGGTCACTCACCCAATCACTCACTCACTCAGTAACTCACTCACCCAGTCACTCACTCACCCAATCACTTACTCACTCAGTAACTCACTCACCCAGTCACTCACCCAATCACTCACTCACTCAGTAACTCACTCACCCAGTCACTTACACACCCAATCACTCACTCACTCAGTAACTCACTCACCCAGTCACTCACTCACCCAATCACTCAATTACTCATTCAGTAACTCACTCACCCAATCACTCACTCACCCACTCACTCACCCAATCACTCACTCAGGCAATCACTCACTCACCCAATCACTCACTTACTCACTCAGTAACTCACTCACCCAGTCACTCACTCACCCAATCACTCACTTACTCACTCAGTAACTCACTCACCCAGTCACTCACTCACCCGCCCGCCCATACACTCACTCATTCACCCACACGCCCGCCCGCCCACCTACTCACCGGTGCAGAAAGTCAGGGGCCTGGTGCAGCAGGGTGTAATACTGCCTCACAAACTCTCTCCCCACGTGCAGGGGATGAGGGGTTTCCATTACCATGGTGATGGGGCAGTTGGGAGGGAGGTCTGCACACACACACAAACAATACACACATAGTACACACACAATACACACATAGTACACACACACAATACACACATAGTACACACACAATACACACATAGTACACACACAATACACACATAGTACACACACAATACACACATAGTACACACACAATACACACATAGTACACACACAGCACATACATAGTACACACACAATACACACATAGTACACACACAATACACACATAGTACACACACAATACACACATAGTACACACACACAATACACACATAGTACACACACAATACACACATAGTACAGACACAATACACACATAGTACACACACAAAGTACACACATAGTACACACACAATACACACATAGTACACATACTATACACACATAGTACACACACACAATACACACATAGTACACACACAGCACATGCATAGTACACACACAATACACACATAGTACACACACAGCACATACATAGTACACACACAGCACATACATAGTACACACACAGCACATACATAGTACACACACAAAGTACACACACAGTACACACATAGACACACACAATACACACAGTACACACACAGTACACATAGTACACACACAAAGTACACACATAGTACACACACAATACACACATAGTACACACACAATACACACATAGTACACACACAATACACACATAGTACACACACAGTACACACATAGTACACACACAAAGTACACACATAGTACACACACCATACACACATAGTACACACACAGTACACACATAGTACACACACAGCACATACATAGTACACACACAGACACAAACACACAGACACAAACACACATAGTACACACACAAAGTACACACACAAAGTACACACACAGTACACACACAGTACACACACATAGTACACACACACACATACCACGTCCGAGCGCCTTATTCTCCCCAGTTAGCGACGCTCACGACACACCACCACACCATTTTAGGCTGAGTCGACCTAGGGGGGAAGTAGGCTCCCAAGTAACCTGGGTTCAAGATAATCGCTATCACTGGATGATGGTGGTGATGGTAGTGGTTAGTGGTGATGGTGGCGATAGTAGTGGTGGTGGTAGTGATGATGGTAGTGATGGTGATGATGGTAGTGGTTAGTGGTGATGATGATGGTAGTGGTTAGTGGTGATGATGATGGTAGTGGTTAGTGGTGGTGATGGTGGCGATAGTAGTGGTGGTGGTAGTGATGGTAGTGGTGGTAGTGATGATGGTAGTGGTGGTGATGATGGTAGTGATGATGGTAGTGGTGGTGATGATGATGATGGTAGTGGTGGTGATAGTAGTGGTGGTAGTGATGGTGATGGTAGTGGTTAGTGGTGATGGTGGCAAGAGTAGTGGTGGTAGTGATGATGGTAGTGATGATGATGATGGTAGTGGTGGTGATGATGGTAGTGGTTAGTGGTGATGGTGGCGATAGTAGTGGTGGTGGTAGTGATGATGGTAGTGATGGTGATGATGGTAGTGGTTAGTGGTGATGATGATGGTAGTGGTGGTGATGATGATGGTAGTGGTTAGTGGTGGTGATGGTGGCGATAGTAGTGGTGGTGGTAGTGATGGTAGTGGTGGTAGTGATGATGGTAGTGGTGGTGATGATGGTAGTGATGATGGTAGTGGTTAGTGGTGATGATGATGGTAGTGGTGGTGATAGTATTGGTGGTAGTGATGGTGATGGTAGTGGTTAGTGGTGATGGTGGCAATAGTAGTGGTGGTGGTAGTGATGATGGTAGTGATGGTGATGATGGTAGTGGTTAGTGGTGATGATGGTAGTGGTTAGTGGTGATGGTGGCGATAGTAGTGGTGGTGGTAGTGATGATGGTAGTGATGGTGATGATGGTAGTGGTTAGTGGTGATGATGGTAGTGGTGGTGATGATGATGGTAGTGGTTAGTGGTGATGGTGGCGATAGTAGTGGTGGTGGTAGTGGTGGTGATGATGGTAGTGGTGGTGATGATGGTAGTGATGATGATGGTAGTGGTGGTGATGATGATGATGGTAGTGGTGGTGATGATGATGGTAGTGGTTAGTGGTGATGGTGGCGATAGTAGTGGTGGTGGTAGTGATGGTAGTGGTCGTAGTGATGATGATGGTAGTGGTGGTGATGATGGTAGTGGTTAGTGGTGATGATGGTAATGGTGGTGATAGTAGTGGTGGTAGTGATGGTGATGGTAGTGGTTAGTGATGGTGGCGATAGGAGTGGTGGTGGTAGTGATGATGGTAGTGATGGTGATGATGGTAGTGGTTAGTGGCGATGATGATGGTAGTGGTGGTGATAGTAGTGGTGGTAGTGATGGTAGTGGTTAGTGGTGATGATGATGGTAGTGATGATGGTGGTGATGGTAGTAGTTAGTGGTGATGATGATGGTGGTAGTGGTGATGATGGTGGTGGTGATGATGATGGTGGTGATGGTAGTGGTTAGTGGTGATGGTGGCGATAGTAGTGGTGGTGGTGGTAGTGATGATGGTAGTGATGGTAGTGGTTAGTGGTGATGGTGGTAGTGATGATGGTGGTAGTGGTGATGATGGTAGTGGTGATGATGATGATAGTGGTGATGATGGTAGTGGTGATGGTGGTAGTAGTGGTGGTGATGATAGTAGTGGTGATGATGGTAGTGGTGATGGTGGTGGTAGTGGTGATGGTGGTAGTAGTGGTGATGGTAGTGATGATGGTAGTGGTGGTGATTGTTAGTGATGATGATAGTAGTGGTGGTGATGATGGTGGTAGTGGTGATGATGGTAGTGGTGGTGATGATGGTAGTGATGATGGTGGTAGTGGTGATGATGGTGGTAGTGATGATGGTGGTAGTGGTGATGATGATGATAGTGGTGGTGAATGTTAGTGATGATGGTAGTGGTGATGATGGTAGTAGTGGTGATTGTTAGTAATGATGATGGTAGTGATGATGATGATGGTAGTGGTGGTGATTGTTAGTGATGATGATGGTAGTGGTGGTGATTGTTAGTGATGGTGGTAGTAGTAGTGGTGATGATGATAGTGGTGGTGATTGTTAGTGATGGTGGTAGTAGTAGTGGTGATGATGATGGTGGTAGTGGTGATGATTGTTAGTGATGGTGGTAGTAGTAGTGGTGATGATGATGGTAGTGGTGGTGATTGTTAGTGATGATGGTAGTGATCATGATGGTAGTGGTGGTGATTGTTAGTGATGATGATGGTAGTGATGATGATGGTAGTGGTGGTGATTGTTAGTGATGATGGTAGTGATCATGATGGTAGTGGTGGTGATTGTTAGTGATGATGGTAGTGATCATGATGGTAGTGGTGGTGATTGTTAGTGATGATGATGGTAGTGATGATGGTAGTGGTGGTGATTGTTAGTGATGATGATGGTAGTGATGATGGTAGTGGTGGTGATTGTTAGTGATGGTGCCCGTGAGCGGGAATCGAAACCCGGGGTGGGATGGTGGTGGTGGTGAAACTTTACTGACGGGTTCCCCTAAGCGCAACACCAGACCTCTTCCATCCTCCTTCTCTCTCTCTCACACACACACCAACACGAAAACAACAACAACAGAGAGCGCGAGCGAGGCTCATCTCCCGAAACGTCGCCGCCACCACCATCACGAACACCAACCACGTGGGCCGAGGCCTAAGGCGCCCACTTTAACAATGGCCGCTCGCCGCCTCGCTGCACGAGGCCAAACTTCGCTCGACTTCGTTTAAACATTCAGATTTAGAGAGCAGGAGGAGGAGGGGTCGAGGCGGTAGTTTTAGTTCAAGAGTAAAGGGTGGTGATGGTGGTGATGGGGGTGGTGGTGGTGGTGGTGGAGATTGGTGGTGGTGGTGGTGATGGTGGTGGTGGCGATTGGAGGTGGTGATGGGGGTGGCGGCGGTGATGGTAGTGAAGAGGGTAGTGGTGATGATGGTAGTGGTGGTGGTGTTGATGATGGTGGTAGTGGTGATGTTAGTGATGGTGGTGATGGTGGTGGTGATGTTAGTGATGGTTGTGGTGATGTTAGTGATGGTGGTGATGTTAGTGATGGTGGTGGTGATGTTAGTGATGGTGGTAGTGGTGATGTTAGTGATGGTGGTGATGTTAGTGATGGTGGTGGTGATGTTAGTGATGGTGGTGATGATGGTCGTGGTGGTTGTGATGATGGTCGTGGTGGTGGTGATGATGGTCGTGATGGTAGTAGTGGTGACAGTGGTGGTGTTGATGTTAGTGATGATGTTAGTGATGGTGGTGATGTTAGTGATGATGTTAGTGATGGTGGTGATGGTGACAGTGGTGTTGATGGTGATGATGATGTTAGTGATGATGTTAGTGATGGTGGTAGTGGTGACAGTGGTGGTGGTGATGATGGTCGTGGTGGTGATGTTAGTGATGGTGGTGTTGATGTTAGTGATGATGTTAGTGATGATGGTCGTGGTGATGATGATGGTAGTGGTGATGTTAGTGATGGTGGTGGTGGTGGTGATGTTAGTGATGGTAGTGGTGATGTTAGTGGTGGTAGTGGTGATGTTAGTGATGGTGGTGATGTTAGTGATGGTGGTGGTGATGTTAGTGATGGTAGTGGTGATGTTAGTGATGGTGGTGATGTTAGTGATGGTAGTGGTGATGTTAGTGATGGTGATGATGTTAGTGGTGGTAGTGGTGATGTTAGTGATGGTGGTGGTGGTGATGTTAGTGATGGTAGTGGTGATGTTAGTGGTGGTAGTGGTGATGTTAGTGATGGTGGTGGTGATGTTAGTGATGGTAGTGGTGATGTTAGTGATGGTGTTAGTGATGGTGATGTTAGTGATGGTGGTGGTGATGTTAGTGATGGTGGTGATGATGTTAGTGATGGTGGTGGTGATGATAGTGATGGTGGTGGTGATGTTAGTGATGGTGGTGGTGATGTTAGTGATGGTAGTGGTGATGTTAGTGATGGTGGTGGTGATGTTAGTGATGGTAGTGGTGATGTTAGTGATGGTAGTGATGGTGGTGTTAGTGATGATGGTAATGATGGTGACAGTGGTGATGGTGGTGGTGGTGATGTTAGTGATGGTGGTGGTGATGTTAGTGATGGTAGTGGTGATGTTAGTGATGGTAGTGGTGATGTTAGTGATGGTAGTGGTGATGTTAGTGATGGTGGTGATGTTAGTGATGGTGTTAGTGATGGTGACAGTGGTAGTGGTGATGTTAGTGATGGTGGTGATGTTAGTGATGGTGGTAATGATGGTGATGTTAGTGATGGTGGTGGTGATGTTAGTGGTGGTAGTGGTGGTGATGTTAGTGATGGTGGTGGTGATGTTAGTGATGGTAGTGGTGGTGATGTTAGTGATGGTAGTGATGGTGGTGTTAGTGATGATGGTAATGATGGTGACAGTGGTGATGGTGGTGGTGGTGATGTTAGTGATGGTGGTGGTGTTAGTGATGGTGGTGATGATGGTGGTGATGTTAGTGATGATGATGGTTGTGGTGATGGTGATGGTGGTGATGTTAGTGATGGTGGTGGTGATGTTAGTGATGATGATGGTGGTGGTGATGTTAGTGATGGTGAAGTTAGTGATGGTGGTGGTGATGTTAGTGATGATGGTAATGATGGTGACAGTGTTGATGGTATTCTTAGTTTTTTCGGTAAAGTCACGTTGAAGAGAAACAACAAAATAACAAAATATATATAAATGGTCGAAACGTTGTGAGAATTTTTTATTGTTTTATATATATTTTGTTATTTTGTTGTTTCTCTTCAACGTGACTTTACCGAAAAAACTAAGAATATGAATTACTGCAGTCACGAAAGCTTTAAATCAAAATTTAGTGTTGATGGTGTTGATGATGGTTAAGACTTAAACACGAAACAAATTTGATTGAAACAAAAGGAAGGAATAGAATAAAGACTTAATAAGAATAAAGAATGAAGAAGAATAAAGAATTAAGAAGACTTAATAAGACTTAAGAATGATAAAGAATGATGATGATGAAGGCGCCGACCTCGGTGAGGCCGCGAGGTTCCAACGCCGCCTCCGTTCGCTAGGCCGCACAGCGAGAGAAGGAGGGGGGAGGGGCGGGGGGGGAGGGGTGGGGGGAGGGGCGGGGGGAGGGGCGAGGTGAGAGGGGGCGGGGAAAGGGGCGTGGTGAGAGTTGTTGGGGTGGGGTGGGGGGAGGGGTGGAGAGGGGCGTGGTGAGAGTGGGTGGGGTGGGGGGAGGGGCGCGGAAAGGGGCGTGGTGAGAGTGGGTGGGGTGGGGGTGGGGCGGGGAAAGGGGCGTGGTGAGAGTGGTTGGGGTGGGGTGGAGAGGGGTGGGGGGAGGGGTGGAGAGGGGCGTGGTGAGAGTGGGTGGGGTGGGGGGGAGGGGCGTGGAAAGGGGCGTGGTGAGAGTGGGTGGGGTGGGGGGAGGGGCGTGGAAAGGGGCGTGGTGAGAGTGGTTGGGGTGGGGGGAGGGGTGGAGAGGGGCGGGTGGGGGTAGATGGGGTAGAGAGAGGGGGGAAAGGAGTTGAGTGGGGGGAGTCGAGGGATCGATTATTACGACGATTCCGGCTCCTAAGAATACATTCATTATTATATCGATTCCGTCCACACCCACCGCACGCAACAATAATAGAATCGCTACTTCGGTGATTTCCCCCCTGGAATCGATTCCCGATCCAGGGAGGTTCCCATCCCCTCCCAGCCAAGAATCGATTCGACCCACAAACACGACGACTCCGCCCCATACGAAGCGATTTAATCACCTCGGCGATTCTTCCTCCCAAGAATCTATTCACGATATCGACGATTCACTCTCCTACTCGCTGTATCAATTACGAAGAATCGATTCTTCATCTCGCTGCCTCCCCCCACCACCACACTCCTCATCCTCCTCCGACCGCGCACGAATCGATTCGAAGGGTTCGCGAGCGATTCTCGCTATTAAGTAACCAGGCGCAATCGATTCACGATTATGATTCCGCGAATCGGAAGCTAACGTGAATCGGAAGCTTACTGGAATCAGAAATCTTTGTATTTTGAATGACTGCAGGAGCAATCCGATGAGCTGGAAAGCTCTTTGCCGTCTACTCTAAACCACTTTTTATTATTTCGCCAGGTCCAAGGGCCTCCCCCCTCCCCCCATCCCCCCCCCCCTACAGCGAGCTGCTGCGTAGTAGCTCTTTGTTTCGGACAAAGCCACCTGGGCCATCGCCACAATGGTGGCAAGGTTTAATTTAATTCAATTCAATTTGGTTTAGCCCTGTGAGCCATTCGGCCCTTCGACCGGGTGCAACAGGCAACTGAAACGAAAAAAAAACACCAACGAGAGAGAGAAAAAAAAACATCTTAAAGTGGCTTTGTCAACGAGGGAGGCTGCTGATGCCATCATCACCGTCACCCACGCGGGGCATTTGAACCTCATGGCTGGGACACCCCGTAATTAATTAACCCATTTATTTATTTATTTTTGTGGGGGGGGGGGGGCGACTACCGTCACCCCCCCACCGCGGTGCACCGGGCGAGGACCATTCTGCCGCCATGTCCAAGCGCAGCGAGAACAAACGGGCGGCGGAGCTGAACAAGCGAATGCATTCCTTGCTCGGGTATGGGCAGGCCCATTGGCGCTCGCTGCCGGCGTCCACCTTCGGCGAGTCGCTGGCCGCTCTCGAGGACTTCAGGAGGGCGTTCGGCGGCAATGCCGTCGCGAGCCGGTGGATGGAGCGCATCATCGAGTTTGTCAGCCTTTCCAGCGGCACGTTCCCGGCGGCAGCGGCGTCTTGCCCGACATCATCGTCATCATCATCATCATCGGTGACGGCATCGACGCCGGTGGCTACGCCGTCTGCCGTGACGTCGCTCCCGCCCTCGCAGCTGCCGACCCTCCCCGGCAGCGGCGGTTCGCGGCCCAGCGTCCCCGCGCCCCGTCAGGCTCGCGGACGTCGCGACCGCAAGGAGGCCGCGATGGCCCGAGCCGTCAGCATTCTCGGCGACGACGCCGTCCGCAGCATTCGCGACGAGTGGCGCTCGACGGAGGCGGCCCGGGGCGGATCCGAGTGGCGGCAGTCGGAGAGGATCGTCCTGCAGATGCTTCAGCGGGGCCTGTCGGAGAGCGTGATCCGCGCGGTCATCCCGGTCGGCGGCTCCCGCGTCCACCGCCTGCGGAAGGCCCTCGAGAGCGGCGTGGAAACGTCGCGCGCGAGGCGCCCGCCAAGGGTCCCGCATCACGCGCTCGCCGCCGACGACCTCGAGGCCATCAGGGAGAGCGCCTGCGCGTGGGAGGTCGAGGACGACTTTCCCTGCTCCCACCGTCGGCCTCGGCAGTACTCGGTTGAAGCCCAACGTCACCTGGACCGAGCTCTATCGCCGGTACAAGGCCAATTTGGATGCCGTCGAGGGCAGCCGGGTCGTGTCGTATTCGCGCTGGATCCAGTACGTCCACGTGTTCTACCCCGGGCTCCGCTTGGCACGCACCGCGGACGACGCCTGCGACTGCTGCGCCCGCCTCGACGCCCGGCTCGCGCGCGGGGATCTCCCGGCGGACGAGCGCGAGCGCCTGCTGCAGGAGAAGAATTTGCCTCTCGCCGCGGCGGTCGCCCAGCGCCGGACGGTGTCCGCTTTCGTGAGGGAGTACGTCGAGCGGCACGCTCCCGGCCAGGACGTCCCGGCCGCCGTCGTTCCGGACCACTGCGACGACGGCGAGCCCGGCGCCGCCGACTCTGCCCGCGGACCGAGCCGCCCGCCGACCGTTCGGGTTCAGGTTGAGGGCTTTGGCGGGAGCTTCGCCATGCCGCACTGCGGCCACGTGCGGCCGTCCGCCGATCGCTTCGACTCGAGCCTGGCGCTGCGGAATTTCGTGCTGGCGGACGTCACGAGCGGCGTCAACAGCGTGATCTTCTACGACGAGCGTGGCCAAGGGAAGGACGCGGACGCGCTGTGCAGCCTCCGCTTCGTGCACCACATGCGGCTGCTCGGCAGGCGCCCGGGCGCGATGCCCACGACGCTGGTGGCCATTCTGGACAACCGCGTTGGCCAGGACAAGTCTCAAGTGGCGTTCATGTTCTTTGCGCTGCTGTCGGTCTTGTTCTACCGCAAAGTCGTTCTGTTGTACCTCCCGCCGGGCCACTCGCACAACCAGGCCGATAGGGTCGTCGCGTGGTGTCGCAATGCGATGAGGGGCAAGAACTTCTACACGCCGTGGGAAGTCGTCGACGCCGTCAACCTGATCAGCGGCGTCGAGGCGACGTTCTTCGACCATCGCGATGCCCAGCGCCCTTTCTACACGGGCTGGGAGAGTCTCCTGAAGAGGCACTTCAGGCCGATGCCGCCCCGATACGCGTCCAACTACTTCTTCGAGGTCGATGAAGGAGCGCTTCGCATGAGGCACCTGAGCTCGACTCCGGACGACGAGGTCACCTGCGTCCCGCTGGTCGCGCCGGGGAACGTCGACCTGCTTCGGCGATCCGTTCTGCGGGATATTTTTGGCGCCGACGTCGACACGATCGAGCAGGGGACGCTCGAGTCGGTCCGACTGCCGACTGCCCCCGTCGGCGGCCTGTCGGCCGAGCGGCTGGCCTCGCTGTCCAAGAAGTACTTCTCGATTCCGCCCGAGCACTTGCCGTACTACCCGGCCGCCCCGGGCGATGCCGGCCCGCAGATCGACGGCCGTCCGGTGCCCGAAGGAGGCCCCGGTCGCGCGACGAAGCGAAAGCTCGCCGCCGTTGACGCGACGGTGGGGCCGGCCGCTGAGATCGGTCCGGCAGCCAAGGCGAAATGAGAGCAGCTCAACCAAGTCGGCTGATAGCATCGTCGTCGTCATCGTCATCATCGTCATCATCATCGTCGTCATCATCATCATCGTCATCGTCGTCGTCGCCACCACCGTGGGAATGTAGAGCTGCCAAAATAATCTAAACCTAGCCTGTTAACAGGCTGTCAGGGCAAGTGATAATTTATACTGCGGCAGGAGTAGGAAATCTGAAACGCTGTAAAGCTCTTTGTTTAGAGATGTTCCAGTAGGAGGCACACGGGGTCGGAACGTTGCAACAACAATATCAAGACACAAAACAACACCGAAAGGAGTACAAAGCCATAGGAAGGGTAAACACATCACTTTAAATATATTTACACAATTAAAACGACAACTACTTGTAAATTTTGGTTTAAAGCTTTCGTGACTGCAGGGATTCATATTCTTGGTTCTGTCGGTAAAGTCACGTAGAAGGGAAACAATAAAATAATAAAAATATAAATCAATAAAATTCTCACGACGTTTCGACTGCAAAACGAGCAATCATCATCAGGTGTGAAAACCACAGCAAGAAAATTGAATACCCACTAGAGGATATTAATATTGTTTGAGGATATTAATATCAATTTAGAATATTCATATTATTATAAGATATTAATTAGACTACCCTTTGTGGTCAGGTCGCGAGCTGAAATGTTTTATAACAGCTCAGTGGGGTCTTAACCTGATGAAGTAAAATAAATAAAACTAGTTTCTAGTTTAGTTTCATCAGCAGTCGCAGAGGCAGGCAATTGGCTTGAACCAGAGGGGGGCGCCACGGTGGCTAGGAGATGTTAACCACCTCGCCTGGGATACAGGAGGTCGTGGGTTCCATCCCAATTCTGACTATGCCTGCTGCTGTATATCTGGAGTCTGTGTCTCTCTCTCTCTCCCTCTGATGGGATGTTAACTCCCTCGCCTGGTTTACAGGAGGTCGTGGGTTCCATCCTGACACTGACCGAGTCTGCTGCTGCTGTATATTTGGAGTCTGGTGGTGTTGGTGGTGGTGGTGTTGGTGGTGGTGGTGTTGGTGGTGGTGGTGGTGGTGTTGGTGGTGGTGTTGGTGGTGGTGTTGGTGGTGGTGGTGTTGGTGGTGGTGTTGGTGTTGGTGGTGGTGTTGGTGGTGGTGTTGGTGGTGATGTTGGTGGTGGTGTTGGTGGTGGTGTTGGTGGTGGTGTTGGTGTTGGTGGTGGTGGTGGTTGGTGGTGTTGGTGGTGGTGGTGTTGGTGGTGTTGGTGGTAGTGGTGGTGTTGGTGTTGTTGGTGGTGGTGTTGGTGGTGGTGTTGGTGTTGGTGGTGTTGGTGGTGGTGTTGTTGGTGGTGTTGGTGTTGGTGTTGTTGGTGGTGGTGGGGGGGGTGGTGTTGGTGGTGGTGGTGTTGGTGGTGGTGGTGTTGGTGGTGGTGTTGGTGGTGTTGGTGGTAGTGGTGGTGTTGGTGTTGGTGGTGTTGGTGGTGGTGGTGTTGGTGGTGTTGGTGGTGTTGGTGGTGGTGTTGGTGGTGTTGGTGGTAGTGGTGGTGTTGGTGGTGTTGGTGGTGTTGGTGTTGGTGGTGGTGTTGGTGGTGTTGGTGGTGGTGTTGGTGGTGGTGTTGGTGGTGGTGGTGGTGGTGTTGGTGGTGTTGGTGGTGTTGGTGGTGAGGCACGCGAGGTTCTAACACTTGGCCTGCGTTCGCTAGGCAGCACAGCCAGAAAAGGAGGGGGGAGGGGGTAAGGGGGGGGGGGGGGGGGAGGGGGGTAGGGGGGGGGAGGGGTGGGGGGAGGGGTAGGGGGGGGAGGGGTTAAGGGAGGGGGAGGGGTGGGGGGAGGAGTGAGGGGAGGGGTTAAGGGTGGGGGAGGGGTGGGGGGAGGGGGTAGGAGGGGTAGGGAAGGGGGATAGGAGTGGGGTGGAGGGAGTCGAGGAATCGATTATTTCTACGATTCCCGCCCCTAGGAATAAGTTATCATTAAATCGATTCACCCCCTACCACCCCACCACTTGCACACCGAGCATAGAATCGCTACCTCGACGATTCCACCCCCCTTAAATCGATTCACTATTCCGGGATTCACACTCCCACCAGCCAACAATCGATTCACTATGTCGACGAGTCCACCCCCTAGGAATCGATCCACAATCACGACGGCTCCGCCCCCTATTAAGCGATTTAATTTCCTCGGCGATTCCTCCTCCTTAGAATCTATTCATGATATCGACGATTTACTCTCCCGCCCGCTGTATCGTTTACGAAGAATCGATTCTTCATCACGCTGTCCCCAATCCTCCAAACACGCACGAATCGATTCCCGTGAGGATTTTTTTTGTGCGATTCTAGCTATGAAGTGCAGGCAGAATCGATTCAGAATCAATATTCCAGGAATCTGAAACTTACGGGAATCGGAATCAGAAATCTTTGTATTTTGAATGACTGCAGGAGCAATCCGATGAGCTGGAAAGCTCTTTGCCGTCTACTCTAAACCACTTTTTATTATTTCGCCAGGTCCAAGGGCCTCCCCCCTCCCCCCCCACGGCGAGCTGCTGCGTAGTAGCTCTTTGTTTCGGACAAAGCCACCTGGGCCATCGCCACAATGGTGGCAAGGTTTAATTTAATTCCATTTGGTTTAGCCCTGTGAGCCATTCGGCCCTTCGACCGGGTGCAACAGGCAACTGAAACGAAAAAAAAACACCAACGAGAGAGAGAAAAAAAAACATCTTAAAGTGGCTTTGTCAACGAGGGAGGCTGCTGATGCCATCATCACCGTCACCCGCGCGGGGCATTTGAACCTCATGGCTGGGACACCCCGTAATTAATTAACCCATTTATTTATTTATTTTTGTGGGGGGGGGGGGGGGCCACTACCGTCACACCCCCCACCGCGGTGCACCCGGACGAGGACCATTCTGCCGCCATGTCCAAGCGCAGCGAGAACAAACGGGCGGCGGAGCTGAACAAGCGAATGCATTCCTTGCTCGGGTATGGGCAGGCCCATTGGCGCTCGCTGCCGGCGTCCACCTTCGGCGAGTCGCTGGCCGCTCTCGAGGACTTCAGGAGGGCGTTCGGCGGCAATGCCGTCGCGAGCCGGTGGATGGAGCGCATCATCGAGTTTGTCAGCCTTTCCAGCGGCACGTTCCCGGCGGCAGCGGCGTCTTGCCCGACATCATCGTCATCGTCATCGTCGTCATCGTCATCATCGTCATCATCGTCGTCATCGGTGACGGCATCGACGCCGGTGGCTACGCCGTCTGCCGTGACGTCGCTCCCGCCCTCGCAGCTGCCGACCCTCCCCGGCAGCGGCGGTTCGCGGCCCAGCGTCCCCGCGCCCCGTCAGGCTCGCGGACGTCGCGACCGCAAGGAGGCCGCGATGGCCCGAGCCGTCAGCATTCTCGGCGACGACGCCGTCCGCAGCATTCGCGACGAGTGGCGCTCGACGGAGGCGGCCCGGGGCGGATCCGAGTGGCGGCAGTCGGAGAGGATCGTCCTGCAGATGCTTCAGCGGGGCCTGTCGGAGAGGGTGATCCGCGCGGTCATCCCGGTCGGCGGCTCCCGCGTCCACCGCCTGCGGAAGGCCCTCGAGAGCGGCGTGGAAACGTCGCGCGCGAGGCGCCCGCCAAGGGTCCCGCATCACGCGCTCGCCGCCGACGACCTCGAGGCCATCAGGGAGAGCGCCTGCGCGTGGGAGGTCGAGGACGACTTTCCCTGCTCCCACCGTCGGCCTCGGCAGTACTCGGTTGAGCCCAACGTCACCTGGACCGAGCTCTATCGCCGGTACAAGGCCAATTTGGATGCCGTCGAGGGCAGCCGGGTCGTGTCGTATTCGCGCTGGATCCAGTACGTCCACGTGTTCTACCCCGGGCTCCGCTTGGCACGCACCGCGGACGACGCCTGCGACTGCTGCGCCCGCCTCGACGCCCGGCTCGCGCGCGGGGATCTCCCGGCGGACGAGCGCGAGCGCCTGCTGCAGGAGAAGAATTTGCCTCTCGCCGCGGCGGTCGCCCAGCGCCGGACGGTGTCCGCTTTCGTGAGGGAGTACGTCGAGCGGCACGCTCCCGGCCAGGACGTCCCGGCCGCCGTCGTTCCGGACCACTGCGACGACGGCGAGCCCGGCGCCGCCGACTCTGCCCGCGGACCGAGCCGCCCGCCGACCGTTCGGGTTCAGGTTGAGGGCTTTGGCGGGAGCTTCGCCATGCCGCACTGCGGCCACGTGCGGCCGTCCGCCGATCGCTTCGACTCGAGCCTGGCGCTGCGGAATTTCGTGCTGGCGGACGTCACGAGCGGCGTCAACAGCGTGATCTTCTACGACGAGCGTGGCCAAGGGAAGGACGCGGACGCGCTGTGCAGCCTCCGCTTCGTGCACCACATGCGGCTGCTCGGCAGGCGCCCGGGCGCGATGCCCACGACGCTGGTGGCCATTCTGGACAACCGCGTTGGCCAGGACAAGTCTCAAGTGGCGTTCATGTTCTTTGCGCTGCTGTCGGTCTTGTTCTACCGCAAAGTCGTTCTGTTGTACCTCCCGCCGGGCCACTCGCACAACCAGGCCGATAGGGTCGTCGCGTGGTGTCGCAATGCGATGAGGGGCAAGAACTTCTACACGCCGTGGGAAGTCGTCGACGCCGTCAACCTGATCAGCGGCGTCGAGGCGACGTTCTTCGACCATCGCGATGCCCAGCGCCCTTTCTACACGGGCTGGGAGAGTCTCCTGAAGAGGCACTTCAGGCCGATGCCGCCCCGATACGCGTCCAACTACTTCTTCGAGGTCGATGAAGGAGCGCTTCGCATGAGGCACCTGAGCTCGACTCCGGACGACGAGGTCACCTGCGTCCCGCTGGTCGCGCCGGGGAACGTCGACCTGCTTCGGCGATCCGTTCTGCGGGATATTTTTGGCGCCGACGTCGACACGATCGAGCAGGGGACGCTCGAGTCGGTCCGACTGCCGACTGCCCCCGTCGGCGGCCTGTCGGCCGAGCGGCTGGCCTCGCTGTCCAAGAAGTACTTCTCGATTCCGCCCGAGCACTTGCCGTACTACCCGGCCGCCCCGGGCGATGCCGGCCCGCAGATCGACGGCCGTCCGGTGCCCGAAGGAGGCCCCGGTCGCGCGACGAAGCGAAAGCTCGCCGCCGTTGACGCGACGGTGGGGCCGGCCGCTGAGATCGGTCCGGCAGCCAAGGCGAAATGAGAGCAGCTCCACCAAGTCGCTGATAGCATCGTCATCGTCATCGTCATCATCGTCATCATCATCATCGTCGTCATCATCGTCATCGTCGTCGTCATCATCATCGTCATCATCGTCATCGTCGTCGTCGCCACCACCGTGGGAATGTAGAGCTGCCAAAATAATCTAAACCTAGCCTGTTAACAGGCTGTCAGGGCAAGTGATAATTTATACTGCGGCAGGAGTAGGAAATCGGAAACGCTGTAAAGCTCTTTGTTTAGAGATGTTCCAGTAGGAGGCACACGGGGTCGGAACGTTGCAACAACAATATCAAGACACAAAACAACACCGAAAGGAGTACAAAGCCATAGGAAGGGTAAACACATCACTTTAAATTTATTTACACAATTAAAACGACAACTACTTGTAAATTTTGGTTTAAAGCTTTCGTGACTGCAGGGATTCATATTCTTGGTTCTGTCGGTAAAGTCACGTAGAAGGGAAACAATAAAATAATAAAAATATAAATCAATAAAATTCTCACGACGTTTCGACTGCAAAACGAGCAATCATCATCAGGTGTGAAAACCACAGCAAGAAAATTGAATACCCACTAGAGGATATTAATATTGTTTGAGGATATTAATATCAATTTAGAATATTCATATTATTATAAGATATTAATTAGACTACCCTTTGTGGTCAGGTCGCGAGCTGAAATGTTTTATAACAGCTCAGTGGGGTCTTTACCTGATGAAGTAAAATAAATAAAACTAGTTTCTAGTTTAGTTTCATCAGCAGTCGCAGAGGCAGGCAATTGGCTTGAACCAGAGGGGGGCGCCACGGTGGCTAGGAGATGTTAACCAAGTCGCCTGGGATACAGGAGGTCGTGGGTTCCATCCCAATTCTGACTATGCCTGCTGCTGTATATCTGGAGTCTGTGTCTCTCTCTCTCTCCCTCTGATGGGATGTTAACTCCCTCGCCTGGTTTACAGGAGGTCGTGGGTTCCATCCTGACACTGACCGAGTCTGCTGCTGCTGTATATTTGGAGTCTGGTGGTGTTGGTGGTGGTGGTGTTGGTGGTGGTGGTGTTGGTGGTGGTGTTGGTGGTGTTGGTGGTGGTGTTGGTGTTGGTGGTGGTGTTGGTGGTGGTGTTGGTGGTGGTGTTGGTGGTGGTGTTGGTGGTGGTGTTGGTGGTGGTGTTGGTGGTGGTGTTGGTGGTGTTGGTGGTAGTGGTGGTGTTGGTGTTGGTGGTGTTGGTGGTGGTGGTGTTGGTGGTGGTGGTGTTGGTGTTGTTGGTGGTGGTGTTGGTGGTGTTGGTGGTAGTGGTGGTGTTGGTGTTGTTGGTGGTGGTGTTGGTGGTGGTGTTGGTGGTGTTGGTGGTGGTGTTGGTGGTAGTGGTGGTGTTGGTGGTGGTGGTGGGGTGGTGTTGGTGGTGTTGTGTGTTGTGGGGTGGTGGTTGGTGGTGGTGTTGGTGTGGTGGTGTTGGTGGTGGTGTTGGTGGTGTTGGTGGTAGTGGTGGTGTGTGGTGGTGGTGTGTGTGTGGTGTTGGTGGTGGTGTGGTGGTGTTGGTGGTAGTGGTGGTGTTGGGTGTTGGTGGTGTTGGTGGTGGTGGTGTTGTGGTGTTGGTGGTGGTGTTGGTGGTGTGGGGGGTTGTGGTGTGTGGTGGTGTTGTTGGTGGTGGTGTTGGTGTGTTGGTGTGGTGGTGGTGGTGTTGGTAGGGTGGTGTTGGTGGTGTGTGGTGGTAGTGGTGGTATGGTGGTGGTGGTGTGGTGGTGGTGGTGTGGTGGTGGTGTGTTGGTGGTGTTGGTTGGTGGTGGTTGGTGGTGTGTGGTGGTGTTGTGGTGGTGTTGGTGGTGTTGGTGGTGGTGGTGTTGTGGTGTTGGTGGTGTTGGTGGTGGTGGTGGGGTGGTGGTGTTGGTGGTGGTGTTGGTGGTGTGTTGGTGTTGTGGTGGTGTTGGTGGTGTTGGTGGTGGTGTTGGTGGTGTTGGTGGTGTTGGTGGTGGTGTTGGTGGTGTTGGTGGTAGTGGTGGTGTTGGTGTTGGTAGTGGTGTTGGTGGTGGTGTTGGTGGTGGTGTTGGTGGTGAGGCACGCGAGGTTCTAACACTTGGCCTGCGTTCGCTAGGCAGCACAGCCAGAAAAGGAGGGGGGAGGGGGTAAGGGGGGGGGGGGGGGGGGAGGGGGTAAGGGGGGGAGGGGTGGGGGGAGGGGTGGGGAGAGGGGTGGGGGAGGGGTTAAGGGTGGGGGAGGGGTTAAGGGTGGGGGAGGGGTGGGGGGAGGGGGTAGGAGGGGTAGGGAAGGGGGATAGGAGTGGGGTGGAGGGAGTCGAGGAATCGATTATTTCTACGATTCCCGCCCCTAGGAATAAGTTATCATTAAATCGATTCACCCCCTACCACCCCACCACTTGCACACCGAGCATAGAATCGCTACCTCGACGATTCCACCCCCCTTAAATCGATTCACTATTCCGGGATTCACACTCCCACCAGCCAACAATCGATTCACTATGTCGACGAGTCCACCCCCTAGGAATCGATCCACAATCACGACGGCTCCGCCCCCTATTAAGCGATTTAATTTCCTCGGCGATTCCTCCTCCTTAGAATCTATTCATGATATCGACGATTTACTCTCCCGCCCGCTGTATCGTTTACGAAGAATCGATTCTTCATCACGCTGTCCCCAATCCTCCAAACACGCACGAATCGATTCCCGTGAGGATTTTTTTTGTGCGATTCTAGCTATGAAGCGCAGGCAGAATCGATTCAGAATCAATATTCCAGGAATCTGAAACTTACGGGAATCGGAATCAGAAATCTTTGTATTTTGAATGACTGCAGGAGCAATCCGATGAGCTGGAAAGCTCTTTGCCGTCTACTCTAAACCACTTTTTATTATTTCGCCAGCTCCAAGGGCCTCCCCCCTCCCCCACCCTACGGCGAGCTGCTGCGTAGTAGCTCTTTGTTTCGGACAAAGCCACCTGGGCCATCGCCACAATGGTGGCAAGGTTTAATTTAATTTAATTTGGTTTAGCCCTGTGAGCCATTCGGCCCTTCGACCGGGTGCAACAGGCAACTGAAACGAAAAAAAAACACCAACGAGAGAGAGAAAAAAAAACATCTTAAAGTGGCTTTGTCAACGAGGGAGGCTGCTGATGCCATCATCACCGTCACCCACGCGGGGCATTTGAACCTCATGGCTGGGACACCCCGTAATTAATTAACCCATTTATTTATTTATTTTTGTGGGGGGGGGGGGGGCACTACCGTCACACCCCCCACCGCGGTGCACCCGGACGAGGACCATTCTGCCGCCATGTCCAAGCGCAGCGAGAACAAACGGGCGGCGGAGCTGAACAAGCGAATGCATTCCTTGCTCGGGTATGGGCAGGCCCATTGGCGCTCGCTGCCGGCGTCCACCTTCGGCGAGTCGCTGGCCGCTCTCGAGGACTTCAGGAGGGCGTTCGGCGGCAATGCCGTCGCGAGCCGGTGGATGGAGCGCATCATCGAGTTTGTCAGCCTTTCCAGCGGCACGTTCCCGGCGGCAGCGGCGTCTTGCCCGACATCATCATCATCGTCGTCATCGTCGTCATCAGTCATCATCGATCATCAGTCGATCATCCGGTGACGGCATCGACGCCGGTGGCTACGCCGTCTGCCGTGACGTCGCTCCCGCCCTCGCAGCTGCCGACCCTCCCCGGCAGCGGCGGTTCGCGGGCCCAGCGTCCCCGCGCCCCGTCAGGCTCGCGACGTCGCGACCGCAAGGAGGCCGCGATGGCCCGAGCCGTCAGCAATTCTCGCGACGACGCCGTCCGCAGCATTCCGGCGACGAGTGGCGCTCGACGGAGGCGGCCCGGGGCGGATCCGAGTGGCGGCAGTCGGTAGAGGATCGTCCTGCAGATGCTTCAGCGGGGCCTGTCGGAGAGCGTGATCCGCTGCGGTCATCCCGGTCGGCGGCTCCCGCGTCCACCGCCTGCGGAAGGCCCTCGAGAGCGGCGTGGAAACGTCGCGCCGCGAGGCGCCCGCCAAGGGTCCCGCATCACGCGCTCGCCGCCGACGACCTCGAGGCCATCAGGGAGAGCGCCTGCGCGTGGGAGGTCGAGGACGACTTTCCCTGCTCCCACCGTCGGCCTCGGCAGTACTCGGTTGAGCCCAACGTCACCTGGACCGAGCTCTATCGCCGGTACAAGGCCAATTTGGATGCCGTCGAGGGCAGCCGGGTCGTGTCGTATTCGCGCTGGATCCAGTACGTCCACGTGTTCTACCCCGGGCTCCGCTTGGCACGCACCGCGGACGACGCCTGCGACTGCTGCGCCCGCCTCGACGCCCGGCTCGCGCGCGGGGATCTCCCGGCGGACGAGCGCGAGCGCCTGCTGCAGGAGAAGAATTTGCCTCTCGCCGCGGCGGTCGCCCAGCGCCGGACGGTGTCCGCTTTCGTGAGGGAGTACGTCGAGCGGCACGCTCCCGGCCAGGACGTCCCGGCCGCCGTCGTTCCGGACCACTGCGACGACGGCGAGCCCGGCGCCGCCGACTCTGCCCGCGGACCGAGCCGCCCGCCGACCGTTCGGGTTCAGGTTGAGGGCTTTGGCGGGAGCTTCGCCATGCCGCACTGCGGCCACGTGCGGCCGTCCGCCGATCGCTTCGACTCGAGCCTGGCGCTGCGGAATTTCGTGCTGGCGGACGTCACGAGCGGCGTCAACAGCGTGATCTTCTACGACGAGCGTGGCCAAGGGAAGGACGCGGACGCGCTGTGCAGCCTCCGCTTCGTGCACCACATGCGGCTGCTCGGCAGGCGCCCGGGCGCGATGCCCACGACGCTGGTGGCCATTCTGGACAACCGCGTTGGCCAGGACAAGTCTCAAGTGGCGTTCATGTTCTTTGCGCTGCTGTCGGTCTTGTTCTACCGCAAAGTCGTTCTGTTGTACCTCCCGCCGGGCCACTCGCACAACCAGGCCGATAGGGTCGTCGCGTGGTGTCGCAATGCGATGAGGGGCAAGAACTTCTACACGCCGTGGGAAGTCGTCGACGCCGTCAACCTGATCAGCGGCGTCGAGGCGACGTTCTTCGACCATCGCGATGCCCAGCGCCCTTTCTACACGGGCTGGGAGAGTCTCCTGAAGAGGCACTTCAGGCCGATGCCGCCCCGATACGCGTCCAACTACTTCTTCGAGGTCGATGAAGGAGCGCTTCGCATGAGGCACCTGAGCTCGACTCCGGACGACGAGGTCACCTGCGTCCCGCTGGTCGCGCCGGGGAACGTCGACCTGCTTCGGCGATCCGTTCTGCGGGATATTTTTGGCGCCGACGTCGACACGATCGAGCAGGGGACGCTCGAGTCGGTCCGACTGCCGACTGCCCCCGTCGGCGGCCTGTCGGCCGAGCGGCTGGCCTCGCTGTCCAAGAAGTACTTCTCGATTCCGCCCGAGCACTTGCCGTACTACCCGGCCGCCCCGGGCGATGCCGGCCCGCAGATCGACGGCCGTCCGGTGCCCGAAGGAGGCCCCGGTCGCGCGACGAAGCGAAAGCTCGCCGCCGTTGACGCGACGGTGGGGCCGGCCGCTGAGATCGGTCCGGCAGCCAAGGCGAAATGAGAGCAGCTCCACCAAGTCGCTGATAGCATCATCGTCATCGTCATTATCGTCATCATCGTCGTAATCGTCGTCATCGTCATCATCGTCATCATCGTCATCGTCGTCATCATCATCATCATCGTCATCGTCGTCATCATCGTCATCGTCGTCGTCGCCACCACCGTGGGAATGTAGAGCTGCCAAAATAATCTAAACCTAGCCTGTTAACAGGCTGTCAGGGCAAGTGATAATTTATACTGCGGCAGGAGTAGGAAATCTGAAACGCTGTAAAGCTCTTTGTTTAGAGATGTTCCAGTAGGAGGCACACGGGGTCGGAACGTTGCAACAACAATATCAAGACACAAAACAACACCGAAAGGAGTACAAAGCCATAGGAAGGGTAAACACATCACTTTAAATTTATTTACACAATTAAAACGACAACTACTTGTAAATTTTGGTTTAAAGCTTTCGTGACTGCAGGGATTAATATTCTTGGTTCTGTCGGTAAAGTCACGTAGAAGGGAAACAATAAAATAATAAAAATATAAATCAATAAAATTCTCACGACGTTTCGACTGCAAAACGAGCAATCATCATCAGGTGTGAAAACCACAGCAAGAAAATTGAATACCCACTAGAGGATATTAATATTGTTTGAGGATATTAATATCAATTTAGAATATTCATATTATTATAAGATATTAATTAGACTACCCTTTGTGGTCAGGTCGCGAGCTGAAATGTTTTATAACAGCTCAGTGGGGTCTTTACCTGATGAAGTAAAATAAATAAAACTAGTTTCTAGTTTAGTTTCATCAGCAGTCGCAGAGGCAGGCAATTGGCTTGAACCAGAGGGGGGCGCCACGGTGGCTAGGAGATGTTAACCAAGTCGCCTGGAATACAGGAGGTCGTGGGTTCGATCCCAATTCTGACTATGCCTGCTGCTGTATATCTGGAGTCTGTGTCTCTCTCTCTCTCCCTCTGATGGGATGTTAACTCCCTCGCCTGGTTTACAGGAGGTCGTGGGTTCCATCCTGACACTGACCGAGTCTGCTGCTGCTGTATATTTGGAGTCTGGTGGTGTTGGTTGTGGTGGTGATGGTGGTGGTGGTGTTGGTGGTGTTGGTGGTGTTGGTGGTGGTGTTGGTGGTGGTGTTGGTGGTGGTGTTGGTGGTGGTGGTGTTGGTGTTGGTGGTGGTGTTGGTGGTGTTGGTGGTGGTGTTGGTGGTGATGGTGGTGGTGGTGTTGGTGTGGTGTTGGTGGTGGTGGTGTTGGTGGTGTTGGTGGTGTTGGTGGTGGTGTTGGTGTTGGTGGTGTGGTGGTGGTGGTGGTGTGGTGTTGGTGTTGTTGGTGGTGGTGTTGGTGGTGTTGGTGGTAGTGGTGGTGTTGGTGTTGGTGTTGTTGGTGGTGTTGGTGGTGGTGGTGTGTTGGTGGTGTTGTTGTTGGTGGTGTTGTTGGTGTTGGTGGTGTTGGTGGTGTTGGTGGTGTTGGTGTTGGTGGTGATGGTGGTGATGGTGGTGGTGGTGATGGTGGTGATGGTGGTGATGGTGGTGGTGGTGGTGTTGGTGGTAGTGGTGGTGGTGGTGTTGGTGGTGTTGGTGGTGGTGTTGTTGGTGGTGTTGGTGGTGGTGTTGGTTGTGTTGGTGGTGGTGTGGGGGTGTTGGTGGTGTGGTGGTGGTGGTGGTGTTGGTGGTGGTGTTGGTGGTGGTGTTGGTGGTGGTTGGTGGTGGTGTTTGTGGTGGTGTTGGTGGTGTTGGTAGGTGTTGGTGGTGGTGTTGGTGGTGTTGGTGGTGGTGGTCGGTGTTGGTGGTGGTGTGGTGGTGTTGGTGGTGATGGTGTTGGTGGTTGGTGGTGGTGGTGGTGGTGGTGGTGGTGTTGGTGGTGTTGGTGGTGGTGGTGGTGTTGGTGTGGTGTTGTTGGTGTTGGTGGTGGTGGTGTTGGTGGTGGTGGTGGGTGTTGTTGGTGGTGTTGGTGGTGTGGTTGGTGGTGGTGTGTGGTGTTGGTGGTGGTGGTGTTGGTGGTGGTGTTGGTGGTGTTGGTGGTGTGGTGGTGGTGGTGGTGGTGGTGGTGGTGTGGTGGTAGTGGTGGTGTTGTTGGTGGTAGTGGTGGTGTTGGTGGTAGTGGTGTGGTGTGGTGGTGTTGGTGGTGTTGGGTGGTGGTGTTGGTGGTGTTGGTGGTAGTGGTGGTGGTGGTGTTGGTGTTGGTGGTGGTGGTGGTGTTGGTGGTGTTGGTGGTGTTGGTGTTGGTGGTGGTGGTGTTGGTGGTGGTGTTGGTGGTGGTGTTGGTGGTGAGGCACGCGAGGTTCTAACACTTGGCCTGCGTTCGCTAGGCAGCACAGCCAGAAAAGGAGGGGGGAGGGGGTAAGGGGGGGGGAGGGGTGGAGGAGGGGTGGGGGGAGGGGTTAAGGGTGGGGGAGGGGTGGGGGGAGGAGTGAGGGGAGGGGTTAAGGGTGGGGGAGGGGGAGGGGTGGGGGTAGGAGGGGTAGGGAAGGGGGATAGGAGTGGGGTGGAGGGAGTCGAGGAATCGATTATTTCTACGATTCACGCCCCTAGGAATAAGTTATCATTAAATCGATTCACCCCCTACCACCCCACCACTTGCACACCGAGCATAGAATCGCTACCTCGACGATTCCACCCCCCTTAAATCGATTCACTATTCCGGGATTCACACTCCCACCAGCCAACAATCGATTCACTATGTCGACGAGTCCACCCCCTAGGAATCGATCCACAATCACGACGGCTCCGCCCCCTATTAAGCGATTTAATTTCCTCGGCGATTCCTCCTCCTTAGAATCTATTCATGATATCGACGATTTACTCTCCCGCCCGCTGTATCGTTTACGAAGAATCGATTCTTCATCACGCTGTCCCCAATCCTCCAAACACGCACGAATCGATTCCCGTGAGGATTTTTTTTGTGCGATTCTAGCTATGAAGTGCAGGCAGAATCGATTCAGAATCAATATTCCAGGAATCTGAAACTTACGGGAATCGGAATCAGAAATCTTTGTATTTTGAATGACTGCAGGAGCAATCCGATGAGCTGGAAAGCTCTTTGCCGTCTACTCTAAACCACTTTTTATTATTTCGCCAGGTCCAAGGGCGCCGCCCCCCCCCCCCCCCCCACGGCGAGCTGCTGCGTAGTAGCTCTTTGTTTCGGACAAAGCCACCTGGGCCATCGCCACAATGGTGGCAAGGTTTAATTTAATTCAATTTAATTTGGTTTAGCCCTGTGAGCCATTCGGCCCTTCGACCGGGTGCAACAGGCAACTGAAACGAAAAAAAAACACCAACGAGAGAGAGAAAAAAAAACATCTTAAAGTGGCTTTGTCAACGAGGGAGGCTGCTGATGCCATCATCACCGTCACCCACGCGGGGCATTTGAACCTCATGGCTGGGACACCCCGTAATTAATTAACCCATTTATTTATTTATTTTTGTGTGGGGGGGGGGGGGGCCACTACCGTCACCCCCCCACCGCGGTGCACCCGGACGAGGACCATTCTGCCGCCATGTCCAAGCGCAGCGAGAACAAACGGGCGGCGGAGCTGAACAAGCGAATGCATTCCTTGCTCGGGTATGGGCAGGCCCATTGGCGCTCGCTGCCGGCGTCCACCTTCGGCGAGTCGCTGGCCGCTCTCGAGGACTTCAGGAGGGCGTTCGGCGGCAATGCCGTCGCGAGCCGGTGGATGGAGCGCATCATCGAGTTTGTCAGCCTTTCCAGCGGCACGTTCCCGGCGGCAGCGGCGTCTTGCCCGACATCATCATCGTCGACATCATCATCGTCGTCATCGTCATCATCGTCATCATCGTCATCATCGTCATCATCGGTGACGGCATCGACGCCGGTGGCTACGCCGTCTGCCGTGACGTCGCTCCCGCCCTCGCAGCTGCCGACCCTCCCCGGCAGCGGCGGTTCGCGGCCCAGCGTCCCCGCGCCCCGTCAGGCTCGCGGACGTCGCGACCGCAAGGAGGCCGCGATGGCCCGAGCCGTCAGCATTCTCGGCGACGACGCCGTCCGCAGCATTCGCGACGAGTGGCGCTCGACGGAGGCGGCCCGGGGCGGATCCGAGTGGCGGCAGTCGGAGAGGATCGTCCTGCAGATGCTTCAGCGGGGCCTGTCGGAGAGCGTGATCCGCGCGGTCATCCCGGTCGGCGGCTCCCGCGTCCACCGCCTGCGGAAGGCCCTCGAGAGCGGCGTGGAAACGTCGCGCGCGAGGCGCCCGCCAAGGGTCCCGCATCACGCGCTCGCCGCCGACGACCTCGAGGCCATCAGGGAGAGCGCCTGCGCGTGGGAGGTCGAGGACGACTTTCCCTGCTCCCACCGTCGGCCTCGGCAGTACTCGGTTGAGCCCAACGTCACCTGGACCGAGCTCTATCGCCGGTACAAGGCCAATTTGGATGCCGTCGAGGGCAGCCGGGTCGTGTCGTATTCGCGCTGGATCCAGTACGTCCACGTGTTCTACCCCGGGCTCCGCTTGGCACGCACCGCGGACGACGCCTGCGACTGCTGCGCCCGCCTCGACGCCCGGCTCGCGCGCGGGGATCTCCCGGCGGACGAGCGCGAGCGCCTGCTGCAGGAGAAGAATTTGCCTCTCGCCGCGGCGGTCGCCCAGCGCCGGACGGTGTCCGCTTTCGTGAGGGAGTACGTCGAGCGGCACGCTCCCGGCCAGGACGTCCCGGCCGCCGTCGTTCCGGACCACTGCGACGACGGCGAGCCCGGCGCCGCCGACTCTGCCCGCGGACCGAGCCGCCCGCCGACCGTTCGGGTTCAGGTTGAGGGCTTTGGCGGGAGCTTCGCCATGCCGCACTGCGGCCACGTGCGGCCGTCCGCCGATCGCTTCGACTCGAGCCTGGCGCTGCGGAATTTCGTGCTGGCGGACGTCACGAGCGGCGTCAACAGCGTGATCTTCTACGACGAGCGTGGCCAAGGGAAGGACGCGGACGCGCTGTGCAGCCTCCGCTTCGTGCACCACATGCGGCTGCTCGGCAGGCGCCCGGGCGCGATGCCCACGACGCTGGTGGCCATTCTGGACAACCGCGTTGGCCAGGACAAGTCTCAAGTGGCGTTCATGTTCTTTGCGCTGCTGTCGGTCTTGTTCTACCGCAAAGTCGTTCTGTTGTACCTCCCGCCGGGCCACTCGCACAACCAGGCCGATAGGGTCGTCGCGTGGTGTCGCAATGCGATGAGGGGCAAGAACTTCTACACGCCGTGGGAAGTCGTCGACGCCGTCAACCTGATCAGCGGCGTCGAGGCGACGTTCTTCGACCATCGCGATGCCCAGCGCCCTTTCTACACGGGCTGGGAGAGTCTCCTGAAGAGGCACTTCAGGCCGATGCCGCCCCGATACGCGTCCAACTACTTCTTCGAGGTCGATGAAGGAGCGCTTCGCATGAGGCACCTGAGCTCGACTCCGGACGACGAGGTCACCTGCGTCCCGCTGGTCGCGCCGGGGAACGTCGACCTGCTTCGGCGATCCGTTCTGCGGGATATTTTTGGCGCCGACGTCGACACGATCGAGCAGGGGACGCTCGAGTCGGTCCGACTGCCGA